TCCTTTGATGGTATCAAGCAGAGCTTGATACAATCCCCAGTCCTGGCAATTGCCGATCAGGACAGGCCATTTCATGTGGTCTGTGATGCCAGCGATCTTGCAATCGGCTGTGCATTAATGCAGTACGATCTTGAAGGCGTTGAACGCGTCGTCTGCTATCAGTCGCGTCAGCTGCAACCAGCTGAGCGGAACTATCCAGTGCACGACAAGGAACTCCTTGCCATGAAGTATGCACTCGCGAAGTTCAGAGTCTATCTATTAGGAGATAGACACTTCATTGTTTACACTGACCATGCGTCATTACGCACGGCAGTGAACAGCCCGCACCTTTCACAACGAATGGCGCGGTGGTTGTCATTCTTTGCAGAATACAACTTTACGGTCGAGTACAAACCAGGACGACTTAATGTCGTCTCTGATGCACTCTCACGTCGTCCCGACTTTGAAACAGTCGTGAAACCCAACCGTGAGACAGCCACTGTTGCGGCTATGACGTCCTCAGCACCATCTTAAACGTTGCATGATGATGTGAGGCGGGCGTATGCCCAAGATGGTGAAATCGTGAAGTTGTTGACACATCGCTCACAGCCATCTCGAGAATCGTTGAAACGATTATCGTCTGCGTATCGATCTGCATCAGATCGATACACTACTCGTAACGGTTTACTGTATTATACAGTCGTTTCTGGTGACACACCACGTGTTGTCATTTCAGATGATACTGATCTGCATTTGCGGATCATGTTCGAGTATCACGATGCTCCTATAGGAGTACATCGTGACCGGGGGAATACGTATCTCACGGTGAGTCGAGACTTTTACTGGCCCCGCCAGTATCAGTTTGTGCGAAAGTATGTTCGCGCATGCGAAGTCTGTCAACGAGTGAAGTCAAGTCCTTCACTGCGTGCACCTTTACAGCCTCTACCGGTTCCGGCTGAGTGCTGGGAATCCATCTCAATGGATTCCGTCTTCGGGTTACCCAAAGACGCACGCGGGAATACGGGTATTCTCGTATTTGTTGACAGATTCAGCAAAATGGTACACCTTGTGGCTGTACCAGAGTCAATCACGGCAAGTGGCTGTGCTTGTGTCTTTATTGACACCATCTTCCGACTTCATGGGTTGCCCCGTGAACTCGTATCAGACAGAGATCCACGCTTCACAGCTGATTTCTGGCGTTCCGTGTTCAAATCACTCGGAACGCGCTTGAAGATGTCGACATCTGATCATCCTGAGTCAGATAGTCAGACGGAACGAGCCAATCGTGTCCTTGAAGAGATACTTCGAGGATACGTACACTACTTTAAGAGTTGGAGTGAGTTTTTGCCAATGGTAGAGTTTGCCATTAACAACTCGGTGCATGCGTCCACGACAACTACACCGTTTTACGTGAATGGCTTGCGCCATCCGCGTGTACCCACCTTACTAAAGTGTAACTCTGGTTTAAGGGGGGGACTCGCGCGAGCAAAAACCGATTTGGTTCACGCTCATCACGCTCTGACGAAGAGGTCATTGCGTTTGATGCCGATATCGATAACAACGATATCGAAGAAGATGATGCCAGTGAGAGTGCGGAAGCCCTCACTGAAGAAAAGGTTGATGTTGCTGCAGTGCGCTCACAGCACACTGAAGCTAACGAGTCATCAGATGAGTTCATACTGGCTCGTGAAACGGTAGTCCGTTTTGTGCAAGACTCCATCGCCGAAGCGGTGGATAAGCAAAAGCAAAACGCAGACAAGAATGGAAGGGCAAACAATCTTTTATTTAATCAAGGTTACTTAGTCCTACTGTCTACGGTTAATCTACCAAAGCCTGTAGTGACTAACTTGGGTAGCAGTAAACTACTACCCAAGTACATTGGCCCATTTCGTGTATTGCACCGCCTAGGCAATGCATACACGATCGAGTTACCACGTAAGATGCGAACGCATCCCACGTTTTACGTTGGTCGGCTTAAGCCGTACCATCAGTACGCTGCTTCTTCCGATGAAGAACGCCCTTGCGCTCAAGCATCTCGCAGAGAGCCTTGTGCTCCCGATGGTGGGCATCAACAAGGGTCTGAAGAGCAGTTATCTCATCCCGAGACCGATCAGCAATCCCACGAGCTACCCTTAGCTCGTCACGAAGAGATGTCAGAGATCTCTCGTTCTCAAGCTGAGCAAAGGCAAACTCAGCTCGATGCTTCGAGGCAGTGTCCGCCATTTGGAGACGCCTATTCCGCTCATGTTCGAGATCGTCGCGTAACCCTTGCGTTACGCGATCAAAGAAGCTCTCGGGAACACACCGATCCACATGATCGTGTGGAGGGCGTCTTCCCTCCTCCTCCACCTCCATTAGAGGACTCTCGCGGTGGCCAGCGCTATCTAGTTGAGCAGCTGTTGAACCACCGCGACGTGAACGGACGTCGGACGAGTTATCTCGTCCGGTGGCGCGGCTATCCCCCGTCCTGGTATTCTTGGGTGCCCCGCTCCCAGCTGATGATTGACGTAATGGGTCTGGTTGAGCAGTACGACGCGGCACATCCTGTGCCGCAGAAGGACCGCCGGAGAAAGTCTTCCCGGCACGGTCGTAAAGGGATTTCAGGTTGTCAATCCCTTCGTACATCTCACTTGAGATACGTACGCGCCACCACGGGCTTTTAGGGACGAGTATCCATTTAGTCAATCAGTCACTAAAGTGACTGATGGTTAGGGGGGGTGATGTAACGGGGTGAATCGTTACATAACAATTTATAAGAAATTGTTAATAGAATATAACTATAAGAGTTATATTCTCAGAATTTTATCAAAAGGACAAATAATCTGTAGCACTTACGAGTAGTTCCTAATTGGTTGATATAGGCCATTATATCAACCAACGAAGACGCGCCACGACAGACGCACGCAATGAGTGGTGAGCAGATAACTGATTTACACATTTGTATTTAGTCATAGTTAGATGAAGATAAATAGTGATTTATTGCAGACATTAACTATTAAAAATACAGTTCTACTTTTTACTCTAACCAAGTACTCGCTTCTTCTTACCGTCTTCCTCTGCACGTACGAGTGTACGTGAAGTTACGAGGCACCGCCTTATTCTGTCATCATAATAAGTAGCTTGTACTGTCACCAGTACAAGCTTCAGGGTGCCCCGTTACAACTAGCGCACAGTCACTAAAAGCCTCATCCTTCGGCTCGTGATCATGAAACGGACATCACGTTACACCCTCGCTGTGTAGGATGATTACAACTGCACTGCCATTGGGATACGCTTAAGATCTTACTATTGCTACGGGCATCTTATGAATGTGTGTACACCACAGAAAGCCTGGCGGGCAGCGCATATCATAAACGGGACAGGCTTTCACTGTCATCTGGAGGCCCCACCCCTAGGTGATGAAGGGTACCCTAATTTCTTGTTTCGTCACTCTGTCAAATCGTGTCCCTGTATTGAACACTAAATGGTCGACTTTGCCTGTTAGTCATTGCCGAGCGAGCTGTCGTCTTAGGTTCGTGAGTGTTGGTATTCGTTAGGCTCGAATCAGAAAAGTGTTGAGCCCAGTCTCACTTGGGAAGGTACATATGCACGCGGGGAATACAGGGAGGGTATGTGATACCTCTAGCTGTAGTGCTTACAGTAGTTATGTGTGGGTTCAGTGTCAATAGTAGAAAATGGTAAGCTTTCTACTTGCTGGGGCAGTCGGCATTTGGATAGGCAAAGAAAAAGAGATAACAGGAAATTACACCGAAGGTCTTCGGTAAATAACTCTTATTACGGTCCTAAACGAGAGTGCTAGCTGGGATCGTCCGCGGTCTCTCTTGCGATGTTAGCACTAACACTGCCCATAGTTGGAGAGGCGCTTTCACGTGCCTTGCCGCTATCGGTCAATTGCATAATCTGGTGCAAATGCGGAATTTATTGTCACAGGGTTTGCAGCTCCGTCGGATGGAATGGGTATTGGCTTGTTATGACAACGACAATCACGATCCGGGTCTCAGGCCTTGTGCATCAAAACTGACGCACAAGAGCAAACCAACGCACACTATGTGTTTCGCACATCTTGACCAGTAGGTGGAAGGCAGGAAATGTGGAGAGCTTCGAGTTCAGTACAGCCCGCGCTAAATTCTGTGCGTTGCAATAGGGTTACCGTTGCAACCAACAAAGTAAAGGCCACATGGTCCATTCGACTTGGATTATCCACGAACATTACAACTTCGAAACACCGTGTTGGTGACTCTACGTCCATCGATAGACCGTTAAAACAATGCTCTAACTCTCACATTCGTTCTTACAGATGAAATCGACTTCTGCTCCGCGTCTGAGCACGTCGTCAAAACCTGCTGCTGGTCGACACAAATTGCAACCAAGACTCTATCACTTATTCACCTCTTCTGACGATAGCTCATCCTACAAACACTGCCGATAGAGTTCGACACAGAACGTCATACCGCTAGGGGTACTTCAAATGCACGCACCAGCAAGAGCACAGCATGGTCAACGACTGAGTCATCGACATGCACCGCGTTCCGCATGAGACTGAACGTGATGGTATCTAGCTACCACTCGAGCTTTTCTGAATTCGCGGCATGGATTGTTCTATAAATCCTACTGCGTCAAAAGCCAAGCGCCTCGCATCGATAATTTGGCCGGATATTATCCGCAATGCCGCAGTGTCGCTGCACATGTCGCAGTTTCCTCACGCAGCCATGAACTGCCTATCCAGGCCAACGGTGTCGTTTAAACATCCAGTTCGCTGGCGAATTCCGCTCGCCCGTCTGATAAACCGCTCGCCCGTCTCTACGCACTTGTAGCTATTCGGCAGCCGAGTATTCAGTGCTTACTTAACCCTTTTCGCTCTATCATGTCCGAAGAGAACTGTCGCCTTCTGTTTTTCGTACCCCTTCGGGACGCCAAAAAGCCTCAAGTCTCCACCAAATTAGTCGCTCATTTGCTTCTCCCGACTCTCCACTCGAGGGTTCACGATTTCTATAGCTGCTACTACCACCAACTCGTCCACTATGAGCTACATGTCGGCTGAGTCGCCGAGACAAAGCGCCACGGAGCACTACGACGCGCTCGTGCAAGAGACGTCCAAGGCCGTGGGTCAGTTCAACCAAGTGACGCGCACGATTGCTCAGAAGATGACGCTGTTCGGGACCCCGCAGGACTCGCGGGTGAACCACCAGCAGCTCACGGAGCTCACGAATCGCGGCAACAAACTCGTGGCGAGGATCAATAGGCGACTGGTGGAGCTCAACGAGGGGCTGAAGGGGGCCAATGGACGCGCGCGGAAGATGCAGGTGGCCAAGGTGTCGGGGGACTACAAGACGCAGCTCAGGAGCTTTGAAGAGACGTGTCAGCGACTGCTAGCAGCTGAACGGGCGGCTGTGTCGAACCTCCGTCGGTCGTCGCTCTCGTTTCGGTCGGAGGATTATGACAAACCCGCAGGGTTTGACGGGTACAATGAGGATCAGATTTATGCGCAAGCAAATGTCGTGAGCTACAATGAAGACGGTGCGTGAATGGGTGGGGGTGAGATGAGGATGTTTGGACAGTGGAGTTGACGAACGGGTTGGTTGTTGGTGAGTGATGTGCAGATCTCGCACGACGGGAAGAAGATATTCTGAAGATCAACCAGCAGCTGCATGAGGTCAATGCTGCGTACCAGGAGGTGGACGGGCTTGTGCAAGACCAAGGAGAGGTTGTCGGTACGTTGCGAGTGCACATTATGAACGACAATTTGTTGTGTTGAGAGCTGTGTGGTTCGGTTCTGACTGCCCTAGGTGCTGACTATGGTTTGTCTGCTTGTTACGTGCTTGCTTCGTAGTGGACATTGAGGAGAATACGAGCGCGGCACAGGAAAACACGCAGGGCGCGTTGAACAATGTGCGGGAAGCGAACCGTAAGCGGCGATGTTGTGAGTGTTCCCAGACAAAATTGATCTGCGTTGGTCTCTTTGCCCTCGTGGTGATTGGCGCCATCATTGCAATCATTATGGCAGTCAGATAAGCAGACTGCTGAGTTTTGGCTTAAGAGCGCAAGAAGCTCTTGAGCACCCGACACTTTATGATAGCGACTGGAGCTAGTCTACATTTTTGATCCACTGAAGTCGAGCGCTTTGTACCTGAAAGTATTGCAGCCATCACTGCAGGTCTCGCAAATGGATAACGACGTGCGTTGGATCCATTTTAGATGAGCCGTTAATGAATCAGAGTGACACTCTGTCGTATCACCCGAGTTCGATGTGTTGTTGCCTCGTGCCTTGTCGCTCTATGCATTGCTGTCAGGTCACTGGAGCCAAGAGCGTGCGTTGATGTTGTGCCAAGAATCGTCTTTTGGTACGTTTTATACAGACTTTGATCAAACTCGTGCTGTCCGATAGAGCTGTAAGCATTCCGAAGACTACAGTGACGTATCGTGGACAAGTTGACGGGTTCAGCTCATCACTGGTACAGACTATAAAGCGCGTGTATGTATTCCAAGTGTTAGGCCATGGCAACACGGTTTTCCTGCGAGCATCGAAGCAGCGCCACAGTCGGGAAGCTACTGTCCCCCCGACCCGACAAATGCGCTCCCGGTTGGTCGTCCTTGCCGATTCTTACTGCCGCTGGAGGCTGTGAATGCATAGTTTGAGCCATGTTTCGCCTGCACTGAACGAAGCAAGAGGTCTTTTGCACGACGATAGAGGAACAAATGAAAGCCTGTTCGCTGATTCCATACAGGTGCAGGTGCTCGGTAGCTGGATGCTGACAGCGAGTGCTTCCATTATCCTTTGTAGCTCTCAGCTTGGACTAAAATTGGTGGTCGATGATGCTATGCTCCTACGTGCTGCTACTGTTCCTTTTTGTGCCCAAGGAATCCCTCCACCCAGCTTCTCGGTATCGATCGATCTAATCAAAACTGCGTCAATCATATGCACCATCCATGTCAGCCGATCCGACCTCCTACTTCGGCTTGCGACCGACCTCACAAGCAAACGATCGACCAAAGCACAGCTACACTTCAACTCTCACTGTTTACGTTCCTGAAAGTACGAGTTCATTCAACCCAACCACCAAACGGTGAATCAATCAAACTCGAGCTGGATCCAGCCCAAGAGCTCCACCATCCACCGCGCCTTCCGCCAATCACAGCCCGAGCTCATGCGTATCAAACTCCCGGCCATCCCACTGATTCAGATATCCAAAGCTCTTTTTTATCCATCAAAATGGAGGAAGCTGCGCGACAGACCAACAAGATCATTGCCCGTGAATTCGCAACGCCACCTCAATCCTCGAAGCTCCGTGATGCAGCAGCAGCAGCATCAGCGGTGACGTTTGATCCCCTTTCACTCGGTCTTGAAGAAGACTTTGTGCTGACGAATTTCAGCGCCCTCAAAGGCTGTGGCTGCAAACTCCCTCAAGCCAAACTCCTTGGCTATCTGGACAACGTGATGCCGAACGACGTGAAGCCCAACGAGACACCAGGAATGGACTCGAGTGTGGTCAAGCTCTCGCACGGCTCGGATCTGTATCTCGTGTCGACCACGGATTTCTTCTTCCCTTCGGTCGAAGACCCTTACGTCCAGGGCCAAATCGCCTGTGCCAACGTCCTATCGGACGTCTACGCCATGGGCGTCACGGACGTCGATACGATGCTCATGATCCTGGGCGTCTGTCGTGACATGACCGAGAAACAGCGCGACGTTGTTACGACCGAGATGATCCGTGGCTTTAATGACCTGGCGCGCCGGGCGCAGACAAACGTCACGGGTGGCCAGACAGTGATGAATCCGTGGCCTATTGTTGGTGGCGTCGCTATGAGCGTCCGAAGCGGTGGGTAGCACTAGGATGTTGTATTTTGTGTCCAGGTTGTTTTCCTGCTTACAGAAGGAGCTGCTGAGTTTCACTGACGAGCGGGTGGATGATTCTAGAGACGCAGATTATTCGTCCCGAGAACGCGGTTGTGGGAGACGTGATCATCCTGACGAAACCTCTTGGCACGCAAGTTGCTGTGAACGTGTTCCAATGGAAGAAAAAGCCCGAGCAGTGGCAGCGTGTGAACCACGTCGTGACGCCCCGTGATGCCGACGTAGCCTTCCAGATGGCGTCGGAATCAATGGGCCGACTCAACCTGAACGCAGCCAAGATGATGCATAAGGTTGGTGTTGGAAGAAGCTGGGACGTTAACGATCGTATAGTATGCATGCAAGTGTATCGTTACTGACACTTCGTCGTGCCTTGTTTCTAGCACGGTGCGCACTCTGCGACCGACGTGACAGGCTTCGGTCTTCTTGCACACGCACGCAACCAAGCCAAGTCTCAGCTGGCAAACGTCTCCTTCGAGCTGCACACGCTCCCGATTATCAAGAACATGGTCAAGGTGAACGAAGTCATCGGGAACTCGTTTAGGCTCCTGGATGGCTTTGCAGCAGAGACATCGGGTGGACTGCTACTTTGTCTGCCGGCAGAGAACGCGGATGCGTTCATCAAAGAGCTGCGTGAGCTGGATGAGAAGCCTGCGTGGATCGTGGGCCGCGTTATTGCTGGCTTAAATGACGCGTGCATTGTGCCGAACCCAACCATCATCGAAGTCTCGCCGGAGGACTAAAGGAGTGCATCAGCACGAACCAGGTTGTGGCAGAGAAGCACAGCGTCAGGATGATACAGGGAAATGGCTTACGCCTATGGCGACTAAGCTGGACTAAGGGTTGCATCTACCTCGAGTCATTTTGCAAGTTTTGAGTATGCCAACTGAATTCGACAATACAGTCACCTTTCGCTTGCTAGCTTGACATGGGTTGTCTATCGATATGACCTGCGAGACCATCCTTGGATTGCGCCAGACGAAAGAAGATTGCGCCAGACGAAAGAAGATTGCGCCAGACTGGATATGATGACACCAGACTAGCCTACCAAGTTTAACACTCCTCCTCAATATATTCATTCTCCATTTCACTACATTAGACTCGAGCCCCTCTGCAAGCCACGGGCCGGGTTTGTCATTTTGATATATCAAATTTGGCTAACTTTGTAACGGGGCACCCTGAAGCTTGTACTGGTGACAGTACAAGCCACTTATTCCGATAACAGAATAAGGCGGTGCCTCGTAACTTCACGTACACTAGTACGTGCAGAGGAAGACGGTAAGAAGAAGCGAGTACTTAGTTTAAGTAAAAAGTAGAACTGTATTTATAATAGTTAATGTCTGCAATAAATCACTATTTATCTTCATCTAACTATGACTAAATACAAATGTGTAAATCAGTTATCTGCTCACCACTCATTGCGTGCGTCTGTCGTGGCGCGTCTTCGTTGGTTGATATAATGGCCTATATCAACCAATTAGGAACTACTTGTAAGTGCTACAGAATATTTGTCCTTATGACAATATTCTGAGAATATAACTCTTATAGTTATATTCTATTAACAATTTCTTATAAATTGTTATGTAACGATTCACCCCGTTACATCACCCCCCCCTTAACCATCAGTCACTTTAGTGACTGATTGACTAAATGGATACTCGTCCCAAATCATTTGGGACGGGGTTTGCACTTGTTGGTCCGCGTCCACTTTCCAACATTTCATCGCATGGTTAACAAGCCCATGCGATGCGCGAGCAAGGCCGCCGAGAGCGCGTCTGCACGTCTCTGTGCGGACGCCGAAGCAGAAACCACAGCAACTGATGTCCCATCGGTTGCTGAAGAGACCCAGCCTGTGCCACTTGGTGACGCAGGCGCTGGTCATGAAGACACTCGTGTCTTCACAGAGTACGAGCTCGGTGTCTCGTACTCTCCTGATACGGATGACGGATCCGTATCGACGGCGATTGAATCTAAGCCGCCTGCCAAGCGTGGCATGGACGATGCTTTGCGTCGCAGCATCTTTGGTTCATCTGATGAGTCAGATGAACCATCGCCGAAGCGAAGGCGCTCGAGGTCGCGAGACTCGGGCGCTAATAGTGGTGTCGGTTCTCCAATGGACACCACTTCACAGCGAGGTGCCAGTACTTCTGTCGGCACGTCGCAGGAAGAGCGGGACCGCAATGTGTTGCGTCTCGCTCCAGAAAAGAAGGCATGGATGCCTCCAAAATCAGTCATGGATCACTTGTCGGCGACGACGAGTGATCGTTATCGAACACGATTGTTCGATTCGTCAAGGATCCATCACCTTGACCCCAGCGCGAAAGACTATCGCGCTGAACATGAGTTCTTCATCGATGCTTTCTTCAGACATCGATGGTACAGTGGGAATCACAAACGTGATGGTCCCTCACTACTTCAGGCGTGGAACGCCTACATCCATAACCTCGAGGATGTAGGTCGTGACGCTTGGAACGACAAACTTATCAAAGCTCGTGATAAGTTTGAAAAGCGAACCCCGACAGGTGCACGCTACAAGCTGCATCGTCTGTCAAGGGAGAAAGAATTACCCTGCCTCTCTTGGGGAGACTCGTGCCCCTGTTGTGTGAACAACTCTGCACGAGCACCTAAGGAGGCTTACCTCCTTACCAGCCCGTGGTGGCGCGTACGTGTCTCTACTGAGATGTACGAAGGGATTGACAACCTGAAATCCCTTTACGACCGTGCCGGGAAGACTTTCTCCGGCGGTCCTTCTGCGGCACAGGATGTGCCGCGTCGTACTGCTCGACCAGACCCAGTACGTCAACCATCAATTGGGAGCGGGGCTCCCAAGAATCCCAGGACGGGGGATAGCCGCGCCACCGGACGAGGTAACTCGTCCGACGTCCGTTCACGTCGCGGTGGTTCAACAGCTGCTCAACTAGATAGCGCTGGCCACCGCGAGAGTCCTCTAATGGAGGTGGAGGAGGAGGAAAGACGCTCTCCACACGATCATGTGGATCGGTGTGTTCCCGAGAGCTTCTTTGATCGCGTAACGCAAGGGTTACGCGACGATCTCGAGCATGAGCGGAATAGGCGTCTCCAGATGGTGGACACTGCCTCGAAGCATCGAGCTGAGTTTGCCTTTGCTCAGCTTGAGAACGAGAGATCTCTGACATCTCTTCGTGACGAGCTAAGGGTAGCTCGTGGGATTGCTGATCGGTCTCGGGATGAGATAGCTGCTCTTCAGACCCTTGTTGATGCCCACCATCGGGAGCACAAGGCTCTCTGCGAGATGCTTGAGCGCAAGGGCGTTCTTCATCGGAAGAAGCAGCGTACTGATGGTACGGCTTAAGCCGACCAACGTAAAACGTGGGATGCGTTCGCATCTTACGTGGTAACTCGATCGTGTATGCATTGCCTAGGCGGTGCAATACACGAAATGGGCCAATGTACTTGGGTAGTAGTTTACTGCTACCCAAGTTAGTCACTACATGCTTTGGTAGATTAACCGTAGACAGTAGGACTAAGTCACCTTTATTAAATAAAAGAGTGTTTGCCCTTCCATTCTTGTCAGCGTTTTGCTTTTGCTTATCCACTGCTTCGGCGATGGAGTCTTGCACAAAACGGACTACCGTTTCACGAGCCAGTATGAACTCATCTGATGACTCGTTAGCTTCAGTGTGCTGTGAGCGCACTGCAGCAACAACAACCTTTTCTTCAGTGAGGGCTTCCGCACTCTCACTGGGATCATTGTCTTCAGTGAGGGCTTCCGCACTCTCACTGGCATCATCTTCTTCGATATCGATGTTATCGATATCGGCATCAAACGCAATGACTTCTTCGTCAGAGCGTGATGAGCGTGAACCAAATCGGTTTTTGCTCGCGCGAGTCCCTCCCCCCTTAAACCAGAGTTACACTCTAGTAAGGTGGGTACACGCGGATGGCGCAAGCCATTCACGTAAAACGGTGTATGTGTCGTGGACGCATGCACCGAGTTGTTGATGGCAAACTCTACCATTGGCAAAAACTCACTCCAACTCTTAAAGGAGTGTACGTATCCTCGAAGTATCTCTTCAAGGACACGATTGGCACGTTCCGTCTGACCATCCGACTCTGGATGATCAGATGTTGACATCTTCAAGCGCGTTCCGAGTGATTTGAACACGGAACGCCAGAAATCAGCAGTGAATCGTGGATCTCTGTCTGATACGAGTTCACGGGGCAACCCATGAAGTCGGAAGATGGTGTCAATAAAGACACAAGCACAGCCACTTGCCGTGATTGTCTCTGGTACAGCCACAAGGTGTACCATTTTGCTGAATCTGTCAACAAATACGAGAATACCCGTATTCCCGCGTGCGTCTTTGGGTAACCCGAAGATGAAATCCATTGAGATGGATTCCCAGCACTCAGCCGGAACCGGTAGAGGCTGTAAAGGTGCACGCAGTGAAGGACTTGACTTCACTCGTTGGCAGACTTCGCATGCGCGAACATACTTTCGCACAAACTGATACTGGCGGGGCCAGTAAAAGTCTCGACTTACCGTGAGATATGTTTTCTCTCGGCCACGATGTCCTCCTATAGGAGCATCGTGATACTCGAACATGATCCGCAAACGCAGATCAGTATCATCTGGAATGACAACACGTGGTGTGTCACCAGAAACGGCTGTATAGTACAGTAAACCGTTACGAGTAGTGTATCGATCTGATGCAGATCGATACGCAGGCGACAATCGTTTCAACGATTCTCGGGATGGTTGGGAGAGATGTGACAACAACTTCACTATCTCACCATCTTGGGCGTATGCCCGCCTCACATCATCATACAGCATTGTAGATGGAACTGAGGACGTCATAACCGCAACAGTGACTGTCTCACTGTTGGGTTTCGCGACTGTTTCAAAGTCGGGACGACGTGAGAGTGCATCAGCGACGACATTAAGTCGCCCTGGTTTGTACTCGACCGTAAAGTTGTATTCTGCAAAGAATGACAACCACCGCGCCATTCGTTGTGAAAGGTGCGGGCTGTTCACTGCCGTGCGTAATGACGCATGGTCAGTGTAAACAACGAAGGGTCTATCTCCTAATAGATAGACTCTGAACTTCGCTAGTGCATACTTCATGGCAAGGAGTTCCTTGTCATGTACTGGATAGTTCCGCTCAGCTGGTTGCAGCTGACGCGACTGATAGCAGACGACGCGTTCAACGCCTTCAAGATCGTACTGCATTAATGCACAGCCGATTGCGAAATCGCTGGCATCACAGACCACATGAAATGGCCTGTCCTGATCGGCTATTGCTAGGACTGGGGATTGTATCAAGCTCTGCTTGATACCCTCAAAGGAGCGTTGACATTCAGCGTTCCATAACCACCTCTCGTTCTTTTTCAACAAACGAGAGAGGTGTACAGTCATCTCGGCGTAATTGCGTGAATACTTATGCAAATACGCCGCTAGCTCAAGGAATTTTCGAAGACCTTTGACATCGACCGGCACAGGCCAGTCGGTGATCGCCTTGATCTTTTCGGGATCAGGACGTACACCGTTCTTACCAACGATGCACCCAAGAAGTGGTATTTCGCTTGCTGCAAATATACACTTCTTGAGGTTTGCATACAATTGATGCTTTCGCATGATTGTAAGAACTTGTCGGACGTGGTACCTGTGAACCTCAACGTCCGACTTTCCATCCATAGCTCGACTATGGATGAATACGTCATCGAAATAACTCGGCGCGAACTCTCGTACTGGTCTCAACAGATGTGATACACATCTGTTGAACGTGGCAGGGGCATTACTGAGCCCTTGTGGCATTACTAGCCATTCCCAGAGCATGCCGCTAGGCGTGCTAACTGCGGTATAGGGTATATCCCGTTCCCGCATAAGGATTTGATAGAAGCCATCCATCAAATCCATGGACGAAAAGATGGTACTCCTTGACATACCATCAATGATTACGTCCTTCCTCGGTATCGGCGTCTGAGCCGGTACCGTTGCAGCGTTCAATTTGTTAAACGCGTGCACTATCCGCCACCCTCCTGTTGCTTTTCGCACACAGAAGGTCGGAGAGCTATGTGGGGAAGTTGATTCCCTCACATGGCCCGCTGCTAAACGATCGGCAAAGAACTTGTCGATCGCAAGTACTTGTTCACGAGGCAGTGGCCACTGCTTCATGACACAGTACTTCGAGCCTGGTTTAAGCTCGACTTCGTGTCGAATACCTTTATCCTTCGGTAATTCGCACGGAACAGTTTCAGGGAATACATCCTTGAATTCAACCAAATCCTCATAGAGAGGATTTTCCTTGAGCGATTCCCATGATTGGGAGTCATATCGCTCAATTCGTGTCTTTTCATCTAGGACACTCTCGTCCATAGATGAACTACTGAGAACTCTCTCGTTCTCAGTAAACACTGTTGCTGACCTTATGTCGGTTACACACTCGTCGTCAGCGACGAGTATGCAGATCTGCTTGACTTTGCCACTACGCAGATCACGCAAGAACCTTTTATGTTCGAGCGTTGGCAACTGAGTGATCTCCGAAGTTAACTTCGGAGGCGCAATCAGATCAAGTGTATAAGCGCCTACACATGATCCGTTATTGACTATGACATTCAATGTCTCTGTCATTTCCTGGGGACTTATTCCCTCAGGCTTCGAAGGACTTATTCCTTCGTCTTCCCGGGGACTTATTCCCGCGGGTTTCGGGGAACTTATTTCCGCCGTATTTGTAATCTTGGGACTTATTCCCTTTACTTCCTCTAGCTGGGGTTGCGCAACCACAGCGAGATCCTCTACGAAAGACTCTCCAGTCGATCTAGGATTATCGTTTCGCTTAACCTGAGCGATCGATTGTTTCTCTTCTAGATGTTCCCCTCTAGGGATACATCTTTGTCCCAGTCCACCCGACTTATTCGAGTGGTGGACCTTCGGCGCAGCCTGTGTTTCCTCACAGCCGCCGGAACTTTGCTCCGAAGTGTAACCGTTTGGTACACTAAGGTTTTGTGCAGTCGTACTAACGACCGTACCACAAGTGAGGCCATCGCACTCACTCGTAGTACATCCACACGCTTGTGGACGCTCCAAAACGTTCATCAGATGGCCATCTGATGAACAAGCGGCAGGCATCGTTACTGTCCGATGTTGCCAGTTTACCCGTGGTTCGTACCTTCTGAGCCACGGTATTCCAAGGATGACATCAAATTTTTCATCCAAATCCAATACGATAAAGTCATCATCATATTGGGTATCTTCTAGCGTATAGTGGATCTTCACTATACACTTCATGACGGTTACGGATGCGCCTGTCGCAAGACGAACCGTCATCCTCGTAGGAGGTGTGTCACACTCACTGAATTTAAAGTGACCATTTTCTAGCGATTGGCGTCGCACAAAATTGTTAGACGCCCCACAATCGACTAGAGCTCGAAGGGACAACTTATTCGTCACTTCGAGTTTCAAGGTAATGAGTGAGATCTCATTACCTAGAGCAGCAACGCACAACGTCTGTGTGTTGGGAGCAACCTTCATCAAGAGGCCTACAAATTCTCTTGACGTTGCTGGATCAGTAGGGTGCTCCGCACCTACTGATCCTGTCCGTTTTTTGACGGTCCATCCCGTTGTTGCGTCTTTGCACCAACAGCGGACCCTCGTCCCTGCCCCTTTCTCATGGGTGGACGGTCACTACGCCCAGTGTCGCGAGACACTGGACGAGGGGCACTACACTCGTAAGCGTAGTGTCCTGTCTTCTGACATATGTTGCATCTCTGCAACTTCTTGTAGCCTGTAGAGCGAACTTTCTCGCTCTCTACATAACAGAGTTCCATCGGCTCTGGACCTCCGTTGTCATATCGTCTCGGTTGACGATATGATGTCGAGCTGGCGCGAGCCTGTCTCAGACTGAAGTCTTCCTGCTCCGCAATGGAAATGGCTTGTTCTAGTGAATCTAGTTCAAGCCGGAACAGGTGAGTCTTGACGGGACCATCCGCAAGACCCTGCATGAACACTGAAACCAACGTGTGTTCATCCACTGGATTGGAACTTATACAACTCGTAAGATGTCGTATGTGTTGAGCGTAAGCGTGCACATCACGCTTACCCTGCTTGAGCTTCAAGAGTTCGGTTCGAGCCCTGAACTCAGCTCTAGGCGGTTCAAACGTTTGTCTGAGCCGCGACTTGAAGACTTCCAACGACCCAAACGCATATGGGTCGTGCAGCTTGAGCCCCAGTGCCCAAGTCTTGGCACGTCCTGCCAGATTCGATTGGGCAAATGCAATTTGCATATCCCCGTCGTCGATGCGACGCGCCCTTATGGCGTCATCCAATTCGACGAACCATCTCAAGAGGGAGTCCTCTTCGACTCCCCTATACTTGGGGATGTCAATCTTCAAGGTTTCGGGTCGACGCGAGTGCATCGACCCACCAGCAGAAGCAGCCTGCTGCTGTTATAACAGTTATAACTGTTGAGCACCCTGTTCTCTCAACAACTCTGCTTGTTGAGAACCTTGTTGGTGAAGCAAGGCTACTTTCTCGCGCTCAGCGTCAAGTTCATTTTAAATGAACTTGGCGATAGTAGCATGTTGGGCATCTCTATTGAGAGCCTCTAGCATGACGCTAACAGCATGGATGCCCATGGTCGAACCCATTCGTTCAACCGCATCCCATTCGACATCGCTCAAATGGGAGTAGCCGTCACGCGTAGCGTGAAAGCTTTGGTCATCTTCATCATCCAACATATCCATGTTGGATGTGAACGCGGTCCTTGGACGGACTACGAAGTGCTACCAGGTGTAACGGGGCACCCTGAAGCTTGTACTGGTGACAGTACAAGCCACTTATTCCGATAACAGAATAAGGCGGTGCCTCGTAACTTCACGTACACTAGTACGTGCAGAGGAAGACGGTAAGAAGAAGCGAGTACTTAGTTTAAGTAAAAAGTAGAACTGTATTTATAATAGTTAATGTCTGCAATAAATCACTATTTATCTTCATCTAACTATGACTAAATACAAATGTGTAAATCAGTTATCTGCTCACCACTCATTGCGTGCGTCTGTCGTGGCGCGTCTTCGTTGGTTGATATAATGGCCTATATCAACCAATTAGGAACTACTTGTAAGTGCTACAGAATATTTGTCCTTATGACAATATTCTGAGAATATAACTCTTATAGTTATATTCTATTAACAATTTCTTATAAATTGTTATGTAACGATTCACCCCGTTACAAACTTGGTCACATCTCATCCCGTACGAGAATCCCGTCGCCATCATCATGGGACGGAATGAGGATGAATACGTCACTTACACCATCGTGACGTGCCAAGAAAGTGCGACTTCACCAGCTGACGTCGCCACAATGAAGATAAAGCGCTTTCGCGGTGGTTCATCGAAGGACTGACTCACATGGAGCATGCAGTTTCGAAGCCTCGCGAAACGAAAAGGCTGGAGAGCTGACCAACTATCCGTTCAACTTCTTACGCTGATTGACGGTGATCTGTTGCGCGAAGTAGAGCGCATTGCCAGCGATGCTTCCAGCAAAGGCCTGACATTTGAAGACTTTTACCGGGAGGTTGGACTTCTTCTGGTCCCAGCGGATTACTGTGAAGACCTGGATGAAGAACTATGGACACTCACCAAGCGCAGAGAAGAGACGGTACAACGCTGCGCGGCACGGCTAAGACAGCTTACACAGATGTACGCCGAGTTGCCCCAGGATTCGCAAACCATCTCAGAGCTTCAACAATGTCGATATTTTCGCCGCGCCATGCCGCCGCACTGGCAGGACAAGCTCGCGTGCTGCGGAATTTCGTATGAGACGGTGAACGAACTGGCGATGTATTTCGAGCGCCTCGAAAGGCGCGAGAGGCAGACTGGCCGGGATCGCCTAAATGGTCCAGCTACCCAGGGTGGTGAAAAGGGTCAAGGTCGACGCGACCAACAACGCCCTACCGCTGACCAGCGCAGAGATCGGCGCAACCCTCGCGAGCATTGCGACACGCGTCAAGATCATCGAGACCGACCTGGTGTACAAGGCGGCAAGAAGAAGCATGACCGTCACCAAGAACACGGCAAGTGGTGTTCATTCCACAAATCAAGCTTGCACGATTCCAGCGAATGCTTTGCCCTCAAGAAGCAACGCGAAGAGCACAAGCCTGCCGAGACGAAACGAACTGCTCACAAAAAGAGTAATTACCCAAGATTCGAAGAGGAAGAGGCAAGCGACAGTGACAGCGACAGCGAGCTTAAGCTTGTCGGCCTTGTCAAGAAGAAGCAACCGAGCGCCAAGCTCGCCCCACTCCGGATCCCGGTACAATTCAAAGACGCGAGTGGCACCTTCAATGCCCTGCTAGACAGTGGTGCTTCGCGGAGCATAATCAACCAAGAAACTATGCGAGCCAATGCTCAGCTTGGGCATAGACAAGTCGAGTCGGCGACAAAGTTTCAGACGGTCAACGGAGAAGTCGCTAGTGCTGGTAGTACGATTGTACAGTTCCGCTTTCCGTCTCTCCAGCCTTCGACCATAATCACGCACAAGTTCGAAATTCTGGATCAGAGCCAGGATGCCATGGTGATCGGTCGTGATATCCTGAATGAACTAGGAATCGTGCTCAATTTTAAAGACAAACTGGTTCAGTGGGATGGTCACGATACACATTTAAACACCGGCGGGTCATCGTCTCCCAACGCAAGTGATTATGAATTCCCCGAAGAGAGCAAAGAAGTCGATAACACTGCAGTGCGACCAGAAGACCTCATGCCAGACAGGCTATCCAAGCCACTCGTCGGCAAATATCTCCAGCTTCTTCGCGATAACGAGCATCTCTATGACGGTCACTTGGGGAGGATGAGATTCGAAGACTACGCTCTACCAATAGTGCCGGAGTACAAGCCTGTACACGCAAAACCTTATCCAGTCCCAAGAAGCCTCGAAAACAAGGCTCGAGAGCTCATCCAGCATTTGGTCAGCATCGACGTGCTGGAGCAGATTTTTGATTCAGAAATGGCATCGCCTGCTTTTTTTCTCAAGAAGCCCAACGGATCACTTCGTCTACTGATAGATTTTCGCGGACTCAACCGATATCTGAAACGCAGCCCTTATTACGTCCCACGTATACGCGAGATCCTGTTGCGTCTCGCAGGAGCCAAGTATCTGTCAACATTCGATGCTAATATGGGGTATTACGCGCGTCGCCTTGCTGCCTCAAGCCGTGGTCACACAGCTTTCTGTCTTCCGTTCGGGAAGTATCAATACAAACGACTCCCAATGGGCATTTCTACAGCACCGGACGAATACCAAGCCTGCATGGAGAAGATTTTTGGCGATCTGGCTTTTGTCGTAGTCTATTTGGATGATATACTCGTCTACTCCGATAGTGAAGAGACGCACCTAGAGCACCTACACATTGTGTTCAAGCGACTAACCAAGTATGGGGTAACTCTCAACGGAAAGAAGTGCCACATCCTCAGACAGTCCGTCGACTATCTCGGCTTTACGCTGACATCTCAAGGGATCCAGCCCCAACAAAAGAAGATTCAAGCCATCCAACAAATTTCCGTCCCCAAAACCAGGAAGGAACTACGCCGCTTCCTCGGAATGATTAATTACTATAGAGATATGGTACCCAACAAGACGGCATTGTGCCAACCTCTCAACCGATTCACCAGCTCCAAAGTCCCGTTCGACTGGTTGTCTAGCGACACGGAAGCATTTCACGCTATCCAGAAAGCGTTTGCCCAAGCCGTACTGCTCGCGTTTCCTGACTTTGAGCAACCATTTCACGTCTACGCCGATGCCAGCGGAAAGCAAATCGGTGGCATCATTATGCAGAAGAACCAGATTCTCGCCTGCTATTCCCGAAGTCTCAACAAGCATCAAGTGAATTACACAACGATGGAGCTTGAGCTCCTCTCTATCGTTGAAATGCTGCGCGAATACCGCACCATGCTGCTCGGGTTCCCTGTGGTTGTTCACACCGACCATAAGAACCTAATTTATCCGACCGAAACCAGCCTGCGCGTTAAGCGCTGGAAGCTCCTGTTGGCTGAGTACAGGCTATCGATGCATTACATCAAGGGAACCAAGAATGTTGGTGCTGATGCGTTTTCCCGGATGAGATTCGATGCGATGAACACGAAGACTCATTTGCAGCTCGCGGACGAGATATGCGCTACCGCTGATGAACCAGATTGTGTCATGCATGGTCCGGTTCTTTGCGAACATCAAGATAAGGACTTGATGATTCAAAAAATCAAGACAGCTTGCCTCAACGGCAACAACAATCCTGACTATCAGCTTCTACCTATACTCGGCTGCACGCTGGTCGCGTACCAAAAGCGCGTCATCGTGCCCGATAGCTTGCGAGAAGATCTCATTCGTTGGTATCATTTAACGCTCAGTCACCCTGGCGGTGAACGACAGTACAAGACAATGAGGCAGGTTCTCTACTGGCCCGGAATGGAAGCCGCGATCATCAAGAATGCGAAAGATTGTCTAATTTGCAAGAAGGCAAAGGTCCACGGAGGCAAGCAGGACTATGGATTACTACCACCACGAACACTCAAGACGGTGAACCCCTTTGACACCGTTCATGTCGATCTCATTGGTCCCTACGAAGACGGACACTACGGTATTACCATGATTGACCATGCGACGCGTTGGCTGGAAGTGGGTATTCAGCACGACAAAACTTCGCTGACCACAGCCGAAAGCTTCGATCGTGAATGGCTGTGCCGCTACCCGCGTCCTGTAACGGTTATACACGACCTAGGAACGGAATTCACTGGTGATGAGTTTCAAGAATTGCTCCGCAGCTACGGGATACAAGCCAAGCCTATAACAAGCAAGAACCCTCAAGCTAACGCTATTTGTGAACGCGTTCACCTCGAGATTTTAAATGTCATCAGGTGCCACGATGGCACTGACTGGAAGAAAACCATTCACTACGCTGCATTCGCCGTGCGAGCAAGCTACCACAGCATTCTTAATGCTTCCCCAGGTCAACTACTCTTCGGTCAAGATATGATCACTCGTCAGCTTTATAACGCCAACTGGAGCTATCTATCGAAGCGTCGTTTTGATGCAATTCTCGCCGACAATGACCGCGAGAATAGCAAACGCCTCGAGCATTTCTACAATACGGGAGACCACGTGATGTTACGCGTCCCCAAGAAGTTCCGTGCAAAATTGCACGCAGTGGCAACCGGACCTTTTGTTATCCGCCAAGTTCACAGCAACGGCACTGTGACCATCGACAAGGGAGCAATGGCAGAACGTGTGAGCATCCGCCGCATTTTTCCGTGCTAAATCTCACAGATCATGGGGGGAGTATGACATGGGTTGTCTATCGATATGACCTGCGAGACCATCCTTGGATTGCGCCAGACGAAAGAAGATTGCGCCAGACGGAAGAAGATTGCGCCAGACTGGATATGATGACACCAGACTAGCCTACCAAGTTTAACACTCCTCCTCAATATATTCATTCTCCATTTCACTACATTAGACTCGAGCCCCTCTGCAAGCCACGGGCCGGGTTTGTCAAGCTCGGCCCTTTTCCAGTGTATTCGCAAGCCCTTCATTTACTAGCTTCGTCATGTATGTAGTAAGTGTATCGGAAGGAGTCAGGCAACAGGGTAGTGCAAGCCGCTTGAAATGCTTAGGTTTCTGCTTAGTCGGATCAACGATAGCTGCAGACCAGGCCTAGGATAATCCTACATATTACATGCTCTTTCGTGATGGCATCAGTCACTAAGCCGTGTAAGTTATTGGCATGATCAAAGAAAGCAGCAAGTTGCAGAGACAACAAAGCTGAAGACTGGAGATCAATGATGAGGTGTGAGAGGGATTAGAACAAGGTGACTCCTGCAACGGGGTAGCCCGTTACATGATTCTGACACCAAGCGGTGTCAATTGGAATATTGTCTAGTATGACACTATCCTACCCATATTATCCGAGATATATAGTATTGAAGGAATATTATCCCTTTTTGGATACTATTCAAGCGCTGCATCAAGAGTGGTTGACAAAGACATATCAGCCATAGATTACCACCAATCGCTGCTAGACGCGCGCAATGAGTGGTGAGCAGGTTGTCGTCATACGACGACGCAGTTGAAAATAGTTAGACAAAGATTAAAGATATATTGATAGCTTAACAATGGTAAATACAGTTCTCTTTTTACCTTTACTTGAACGAGTCGTTTAAGTAGATTAGCTTCCTCTGAACGTACTAGTGTACGTAAAGTTTCATGGCACCCCAAACAAAGGGTGCCCCGTTACACCTGGTAGCACTTCGTAGTCCGCCCCACATGAACTTGTTGGACGTAGAAGACGACAGCTTTCACGTCACACGTGAAGGCTACTCCCATCTGAGTGATCAGAATGGGAGGTAGTCGGCCGCGTGAGTGTGCTCATGGGAGAACCCGCCATCAGTGGCATGTTGGAGTCTCTAAAAAGAGACCAACAACATGCTGCTATCAACAAGTTCCTACAAGGGTAACTTGCCGTCGGACGACTAAAGATAGCCTTGCTACAGCAGCAAGGCTCTCATCAGTCGATGGGCGGGCCGACGCACATGCGTCGACCCGAAGACTTGAAGATTAATATCTCAAGGTACAAGGGAACTGACGAAGACACTCTTTCAAGATGATTCGTCGAGTTAGACGACGCAATCAGGGCCCCTCACATCGAGGGTGACGAGATGCAAGTCACCTTTGCCCTGTCAAATTTGACAGGACGCGCAAAGACTTGGGCCTTAGGGCTCAAGCTTCACAACCCAAACGTGTTTTAGTCATTGGAGTACTTGAAGTCTCGACTCAAAGAGACGTTTGAGCCGCCAATAGCCGAGTTCAGAGCACGCTCTGCACTCTTAAGGCTAAAGCAAGGTAAGTGTGACGTGCACGCTTACGCACAACACCTACGCTACCTTGCAAGTAGCGTCACGGAGAACCCTGTTGATGAGCACACGCTCATCAACGTGTTTATCTACGGCCTTGTAGATGGGCCGGTGAAGACGTGCACGTATCGAGAGGACTTCCATACGCTGGAAAAGGCGATAGCGTATGCGGAACAAGAAGACTTCAGGCCTGAGACAGTCTCAGGCTAACTCTTCAAACTATCGTCCGACGAGACGACAGGAAACAGGAGGTCCCGAACCAGTGGACCTCTGTTACATCGAGAGCGAGAACTCTCGCTCTCTGAGTCACAAGCGAACGTCAAGATGCCACTGCTGTCAGAAGATTGGACACTACGCTCACATGAGTGTAGTGTCCCGAGCACCGCAACACGTCCAAATCAGGACGTGATGACCACCGTTGGCCAAGGAAAGGTCCGAGGCGTGGGTCTGACCATGTCGCGAAGCCTCGACAGCAAGTCGGACCGCCAATAAACGGACAGGGTCAGTAGGGTCGGAGCACCCTGCTGGTCCAGCAACGTCAAGAGAATTTGCAAGACTCTTGACGAAGATTGCTCCCAACACGCAGCCTTTGTGTGTTACCGCCCTTAGTGCTGAGGATTCTCTCATCACTTTGAAGATCGAAGTGAAAATTGGAATGTCACTTCGCACCCTAGTCGACTGTGGTGCGTCGAACAGTATCATTCGACGCCAGTCGCTAAGGGATAGTAGTATCAACTATGTTAAGCGAGAGTTCCCTCCAACGAGGATGACGGTGTGCCTTGCTACAGGCGCATCCGTAACAGTAAACAAACGTATAGTGGGAATCCACTACACGCTAGAAGAAAAGCAGTACTATGATGACTTTATCGCATTTGTTTGGATGACAAATTTGATGTCATCCTTGGTCTGCCATGGCTTAGAAAGTACAGGTCATGGGTTAGCTAGCAGAATCGATCCGTGAAGATGCCTGCCGTTTGTTCATCACATGGCCATCTGATGAACGTCTTGGAGCATCCACAAGCGTGTGGATGTACTACGAGTGAGTGCGATGGCCTCACTTGTGGTACGGTCGTTATTAAGACTGCACAATATCACAGTGTAGAAGGCCACTGCACTGTGGAACCAGCTTCCGGCACCTGTGTAGAGACACAGGCTGCGCCGAAGGTTCACCACTCGAAAAGATCGAGTGGACTGGAACACGGATGCACATCAAGAAGGGTGCATCCAAGAAGAGAGATTACTGTTGTTCGGGATGAACAGCACGTTGAAGCGAGATCGACTATCAGAGAGTCGATCGTAGAGCAAGCCCGATCGACTGAAAGAGAGTCGAACGAAGAGGACGTGACTGTGGTAGTACACCCACAGTCAGTACACGTATTGGAAGAAAGTTCCAGCGTTCCTGAAAGTGATAACTCCCGAGAGAGTTATGTTGAGGGAATGGATCCCCAACCACCTGCGGATGTGTTTTCCCAGGAAATCACCGAGACAGTGAATGTCTTGGTGAATGACGGATCAATTATAGGCGCTTATGTACTTGATCTGGTTACACCCCCGAATTCAGCTTCGGAGGTAGTCAAGTTGCCAACGCTAGAATCTAAAAGATTCTTGCGAGATCTGCGTAGTAACAGTATTAAGCGGATCTGCGTACTCGTCACAGAGGACGAGCACGTTGCCGATATTCGGTCGGCACAAGTATTTGCTGAGAACGAACGGATTCTCAGTAGCTCATAGATGTACGAGAGTGTCATGTTTCTAAAACCCGGATTGAGCGATGCACGCCTCAATCTTGGGAATCTTTGAAGACAAATAATTTGTATAAGAATTTGGTTGAAGTTGGGGATGTTTTCCCGGAGTCCGTGCCATGCGAGCTGCCCAAGGACAAAGACACTCGGCATGAGATCGAACTAGATACCGGTTCGGAATACTGCGTCATGAAGCAGTGGTCACTGCCTCGTGAACAAGTACTTGCGATCGACAAGTTCTTTGCCGATCGTATTTAGCTGCGGGCCATGTGAGGGAATCAACTTCCTCACATAGCTCTCCGACCTTCTGTGTGCGAAAAGCAACAGGAGGGTGGCGGATAGTGCACGCGTTTAACAAATTGAACGCTGCAACGGTACCGGCTCAGACGCCGATACCGAGGAAGGACGTAATCACTGATGGTATGTCAAAGAGTACCATCTTTTCGTCCATGGATTTGATGGATGGCTTCATTCAAATCCTTACGCGAGAACGGGATACACCCTATACCGCAGTTAGCACGCCTAGCGGCATGCTCTGGGAATGGCTAGTAATGCCACAAGGGCTTAGTAATGCCCCTGCCAAGATCAACAGATGTGCATCAAATCTGTTGAGACCAGTACGAGAGTTCGCGCCGAGTTATTTCGATGACGTATTCATCCATAGTCGAGCTATGGATGGTAAGTCGGACGTTGAAGTTCACAGGTACCACGTCCGACAGGTTCTTACAATCATGCGAAAGCATCAATTGTTCGCAAACCTCAAGAAGTGTAAATTCGCAGCGGACGAAATACCACTTCTTGGGTGCATCGTTGGTAAGAACGGTGTACGTCCTGATCCGGAAAAGATTAAGGCGATTAGCGACTGGCCTGTGCCAGTCGATGTCAAGGGACTTCGAAAGTTCCTTGGCTTGGTGGCATACTTGGACAAGTACTCGCGCAACTACGCCGAGATGACCGTACATCTCTCTCGTCTGCTAAAGAAAAACGAGAGGTGGTCATGGGGCGCTGAGTGTCAGCACTCTTTTTTGAGTATCAAGAAAAGCTTGATACAGTCGCCTGTGTTGGCGGTCGCTGACCAGGACAGACCATTCCATGTGGTCTGTGACGCCAGCGATTTAGCAAACGGCTACGGGTTAATGCAGAACGACTCAGACGGCGTTGAGCGCGTCGTCTTTATCAATCGTGTCAGCTGCAAGCATCTGAGCGTAATCACCGGTGCATGGCAAGGAACTCCTTGCAGTAATAAATGTACTGGCTAAGTTTCGGGTATATCTCTTAGAAGATCGGCTCTTCATCGTTTGTACCGACCATGCGTCGTTACGCACGACCGTAAACCGTCCACACCTCTTGCAACGAATGGCAAGGTGGCTGTCTTTATTCGCTGAGTACAACTTCTCCGTTGAGTATGAACCAGGGCGACTTAATGTCGTCGCTGAAACTCTTTCGCGTCGGCATGATTTCGATTCGACTGTTCAACAGAGCAGTAGGGGTGATCCAACTGTAGCGACACTAAAAGTGAGTGTTCTGTCGTCGAATCTGATCAACGATTTGCGAAAAGCATACGCAGAAGATGAGTCTCTTCTGCGATTAATAGATTACGTATTCAATCCATGCAGTCAAGCTTTGAAAAGCTTTTTGTCTCAATACCGCTCTTCAACCGAACGGTTTTCTGTTCGCGATGGACTGCTGTACTATACAGCAGTCAACTGCGACACACTACGTGTCGTCGTTCCCGCTCATAATGATTTTCGATTGCGCATCATGTATGAGTGTCTTGATGCCTCTACAAGTGGACATCGCGGTAGAGAAAAGACTAACCTCATGGTGAGTCGTAACTTCTACTGGCCCCGCTAGTATGACTTTGCGCGGAAAAATGCATTCGCGCTTGCGAAGTTTGTCAACGGGTGAAGCCTCGTCCTTCATCCCGCGCACCCTTGCAGCCTCTTCCGATTCTGGCAGAGTGTTAGCAGTCCGTATCGATGGACTTCGTCTTCGGTTTTTCCAAAGACGTCCACAAGAATATTGGTATTCTTGTGTTTGTTTATCGGTTCAGCGAGATTGTACATCTTATTGCTGTACCGGAGTCAATCACAGCCCAGGGATGTCCTCTTGTCTTCATCGATACTATCTTCCGACTTCACGAATTACCCCGTGAGCTCGTGTCTGATAGGGACGACCGCTTCACAGCGGAGTTGTGGCAATCCGTGACCATTCACTTGGAACACGTTTGACGATGTCGACTTCTGACCATCCAGAAACAGATGGTCAGACGGAACGCGTCAACCGCGTCCTCGAAGATATACTTCGAGGGTATGTACACTCGTATAAGAGTTGGAGTGAGCTCTTGCCAATGGTTTAACTCGCCATCAACAACTCGGTGCATGCGTCGACAACGCATACACCGTTCTTCGTGAATGGCTTACGCCACCCACGTTTACCCGCCTTCGTAGAGTGTGACTCTTGTATAAGGGGGGTGGACTCGCTCGAACAAAAATCGATCTAGTTCTTGCTCATCGCACGTCGACACCATTGTCGACGTGATGATGGATGCCGATGTCAATGCGATCGATATCGATGATGATGATGACGAAGATGCTGGTATATTCAGCATCGACAATGACTATCACAGTGAGGACGATGACACCCTCACTGGTGAAGACAACGTTCTTTCAGCAGTGCACACGAAGCGCACTCATGTAAACAAGGATATTCAGCAGAGGAATTTCTGCTGACTTGCGAAGCGGTCGTCCGCGTCGTTCAAGACTCTATTGCAGATGCAATAGACGGACAGAAAAGAAACGCAGACCAACATGGAAGAGCCAATGTTCTTCATTTGATAAAGGAGACCTAGTTTTACTGTCTGCAGTAAATCTACCGAAACACGCAGTGACAAACGTGGGCAGCAGTACATTACTGCCCAATTGTATCGGTCCATTTCGTGCGTTGCGCCGAATGGGCAACGCATACACGATTGAACTGCCCCGTAAGATGCGTACGCATCCTACGTTTCACGTTGGAAGTTTCCGCCCGTACTATCAGTACGAGCCCGTTTCGAGATGCGAAGAACACCTCCGCGGTCGAGAGCCGAGACCACCTTCTTGTGGTCCCGTTTCAACGAGCCATTCTGGTCGACGATTGAAGCGACCTGCTCACGCAGTTGAGAATGTCTTGACGAGCTGCAGCCAGCTTGTCACAAAGAGAACGAGTCAAACGTCCGTTCTCAAGTTGCGCGAACGCAAAAGCGGCACGATCTTCCGAATGATCGTGCGTTAAGGAATTGTAATTTTCCCTTACAAGATCCTGGAGCTCATAAGGCCGATTCCATTAATCGGTCAGGTCATCTTGCAACTGTTCCGTTACACGATTCAGCTCCTGATCATCTAGCTGATCCGGCCCTCGAGCCGGATCAGGTGTTCCCGCCGCTACCACATCATTTGGTGGACTCAATCGGTGGTCAACGCTTCCTTGTGGAGCGTATTTGGAACCACCGCAATGTGAATGGCGTCCAGACGAATTACCTCGTCCTCTGGCGTGGCTATCCGCCGGCGTGGGAAAGCTGGAAGCCTCGTGCCCAGCTGATTGTTGATGTCCTTAGTCTCGTCGAGCAGTAGACGAAACCCACCCGCTGCGTTCGAAGAAGAGCCGTCGGAAAACGACCTCCCCGAACGCGAATAAAGGGATTGCAAGGTGTCAATCCCTTTGGCCGTCTCGGAAGAGATGCGCGCCCTCCAGTAGGAATTATTAGGGAGGGAGGCCTCCCTAGGGGGACGGTTCGAATTTTCCAGGTAACCTGGACACGTATCACCACACGAGAGACAGGGTAATCCTGCCTCTCTTGATAGCCGACCCAACTTGTATTGTACGCCGAATAGGTCGCGTTTCTCAAACCTATTGCAAGATGCGAGCATCAAGTTGGGCGGCCAGGCCTCACAGCCAATGCACTCGATGTTATGGATGAGGGCATTCTATCCTTGCACCAAGGCTTTGCCGTCTCGAACACGGCTGCCACTGTGCCACCGATGTTTGAAGAACGCATCGGTGAAGAACTCTTCCTCAGCACGGATAGTGTTCGAGGTGGAATTAGGAGGAAAGATCGTCCTACAGTCGAACAACGGGATTCGATCTCGATCGGTAGTCATGCCGGCCAACTGGTCCAATTCTCTGGAGGACGGCATCCACGGAGACTCTACTTGAGAAGCGTGTAGCAGGACATTTCGGTCCCTTGCCTCTTGATTGGTGCCAGCATGAGCACTTGCACCAGTGTTACCCCGATCCCTTGAGTTGCTTCGCTCGTAGTGATGTATAGGTGCATCACCACCATCTCCACGCGTCCTTTCGTTGAATGGACTTGCGTGAGGCGGAGACTCATCGGAGTAATCACTCAATCCGAAGATATCGGTCATGATGCTGCCACGCTGACCAGAGCCAGTCAGACTGGCTTTTGCAGCGTCCGCCCGGGTGATCCCGAGACGTGAGGAGTCGCCTTCGAGTCGTATGCATCATCCGACTCGCCAGAATAGATGAGCTCTATCTCAGACTCGTCTGGATTACGATTCGAGGTACCCGCTGCAGACGCAACGGATGTACCTGTCGCACGTGGTGACTCACCACGTGGAGAATTCACGACAACAGGCGTCGAATCGCATGCTGCTGAGGCGTGAGAGGCACTTTCCGCGGCCGCGCGCATGCGTGCAGCCGCTCTTCTTGATGCTGCAGTAGCAGCTCGCGTGGTTTTGGAAACCATGCGTTGGATTGGCAAATGAATGAAATTTGACCAACAAGTGCTCCCTTTCCCAGAGTGATCCAACGTTGGTCACCCTGTCCCACTCAGTTCTAATTCAATCAACGGGTGATTGATGGTTAAGGGGGGGGGTGATGTAACGGGGTAGGCCGTTACATGAAATTGACACTAAACGTTGTCAATTGGAATATTGTCTAGTATGACACTATCCTACCAAAATTATCCGGGATAGATAAAATTGAAGGAACATTATCCCCTTTTGGATAATATTCATGCGCTGCTCCAAGATTGGTTGACAAAAGACTTATCAACCATAGATCGCCACCAATCGCTGCTAGACGCGCGCAATGAGTGGTGAGAAGGTTGTCGTCATACGACGACGTAGTTTAATATAGTTGGATAAAGATTAAAGTTATATTGATAGCTTAACAATAGTAAATACAGTTCTCTTTTTACCCTTTACTCAGCTTAGTCGTTGAGTAGATTAGCTTCTTCTGCACGTACTCGTGTACGTGAAGTTTCGTGGTACCCAGACAAAGGGTGCCCCGTTATAGGCGACGAATGCAATTCACTGAGAGGTTGATCAAATGGTGGGTCTTCCTTCAGACGGTGCACAGGACTTAGCAGCAATACAACAGCGCACTCACATAAGAGCGGTAGTGCTCGCAACGCATCCGAAACGACATAGTTTGCCGTGGGGACTCCCACCTACAGTCAATAACATGCACGTTCATGAAGCGTTGCTACGACAACCTTTTAGTCATGCAAATTAACATCTGGCCTCAGAGCTCAGAGCAGTGCTAGCAACACTCCGACATAGATATTAATCGCACACGGGCGTGTATATCCCTCTATCCCAGTTGCCGACTCAGCTCTGGAAGCACCGCCATACTCTCAAGAAACACCAAGTTTGGATGTGCTACCGAATCGCTACTCATCAATTAAAACTGTCCGTTTCGGGCCTTAATCTAGGCTACACGTGCAAGCGGCATTTCACCTGCAAGGGGCATCATGGAAAGTTCTCAATATCCTATGGGAGTGCGTGGGAGCGAAACTCTGTTGGACATACATCATAGCCCAGTGTACGCGCTTTTTTGGTAACAGGCGCCCACCTTATTTGGCGAAAAAGGCTGCACTATCTCGAACGGTTCATTTCCTACATTCGGGGGTGCGAACGGACATCACGCGCATGATTTTGATGCCACAGACTACATCGTCCGGGCCTGGAAACAGATCTGGTAGACAGTTTGCTCGTTCTGCGTCGTTAATCTCTGGAATCAGCGGAATCGAAGTGTCTTCAAGCAGGAACAAGTGACACCCCAGTAGACTGTCGTAGAAGTACGACACCTTCTACGGCACCAGCTGTAAGCAGTATAGGTCAAGGGAAGACTGAAGAGCAGGGATGGCAGTGACGGCTTATTCTTCCCACAAGCAACGGAAGTGTTTCAGGACACCGTGGCCATCAGCCGGCGGTTCATGATAGCCTCTCTAGGCGACAAAAGTCATCTACAGAAGTCCTCGATAGGTTTATGATTTTTGAAATTCTATTAAGCCGTGAGGTCAATAGACAGTCTGGCTCTCAATCAGTCTAGCGTACCGTACAGAAAAAGTCACCCCGTCACAAAAGAAGTCCCAATTCGGTTTAAATTGTAACTACTTTTTACGGCCCAAATAACTCAGCGGGAGTGTAACGCGAGACGTTCGGTACCAGACCGTGCTGTTGCGAATGTTAAACCTGTTCGCACCCCTTGCATTGAATACAACACATCAATGCCGCTTGTTCGCTGAATGCTGTATTTGTGTCCAGTTCCATGTATTCTGTCATGTTATTATCTGTCGCTGCCAATGTAAGAATAAGAGTGCAACGATGAATAAGCACTCGCCTTTAGCGATCAAGAGCAACGTGGTATATTGTGTAGCGTACCCAATAATGTCGTAAATTAAGTAAAAGGTGTAGTGTATCTATCATCTTTCAATCTATTTACAGTCTAGTAATTTGTCAAAGAATTGTAAATGGTACGTTGCGCTGCAACCTCCCCGACTGTCCGTCGCCCACTCGTCACCATCTAGCGTAAAATCAAAAGGAGACATGACACCGGTAGGAGCCATGGACTACCATCCACGCAATCGGTCCCAACGACTGCTTTTATCGCAAAAGAATTCATGCATGCCTCCTCTGCAATGCAATCATTTCTATCAGATTCTTTGCACTTTGCGGGCTTACTATGACCACCTTCGGACGCCCTCATCTTCAGGCGTGGGCGTAATCCAAAGAAGCTAAAGTGGATGAGGGAGAAGTCGAGCCCAAGTGCAACTACTGTTCACTTGATATGAAACCCTAGGCAGAGCGCATGGATGTTCACATTGCACAGGTGTTCTGAGTTATTCTGCTAACAGCATGAAACAGACGTGCAAAGAGGCTCCAGAGACGAATTTTAAGGATGAGATTCTAGTAAGAAACTGGTCGGGAAAAGCTTCGGTGCGTAAGTTGTGTATGCCATCTTCATGACAGCGGAGCCGTTTAAAATCTTTACTATCTGTTTCCGGCACGTCAGAGGGCGGATTGGCCTCATCATTGGCTTCTAATTTTCTACATTTTAGAGAATTGGAATTCCCTCCGGTACGGTATTTCTATCGCATTGTGATGTTTTCACCCGACCTGGCCACTCGACATAGAGAGAACCTGCTTGGTGGAGCTGTAAAACTGTTAAAAACAGGCTGAAACGATAATAACTTGTTAAACCATTTAACGCTAGATAAAAAGTGGTAAGATACGTGAAGTTTTGGTAAAAAGTGCTAAAAAGTCACAGAGCTTTTTACCTAACATCCCTACTTCCCCGTCAGCGAGTGAGCGAGTGAGTGAGAAGGTGAGGTATATTCATGTAAATGTGAAAAATGTGAATGACCCATTTTATCTGGTCTGCCAGCACCGAGGTACCGCGCAGACAACGAGGTGTGTATCTTAAGTAAGTAGTTGTCCTCGGACAGCTGCCGGCGCAAGCTGAAGTCTCGAAATGGCTGCATCCTTCGCGGTCGCCGCGAGACCCCGGGGATCGGAAAGCTCGTTATGATAATTCTCAAGCCAGTGATCGACGTCAGAGCTGAGGATGTCGCAATCTCTTCGACGACCTGGCGATCCGACGGAAGGTGCACGTGAACTGAAGTACAATTGTCCATCGCAAAATTATCCAGTCGGTCTGTAATCTTGTTAAAAGTGCTGTAGTGATGCCCTGGGCTGATGACCGCAATATCATGTGCCCAAATCTCTTGTCTTCCGGAAAAGCAACGCCAAGTGAGCTTTTCTTGGCGAGTGATGGGATCGAAGCTGGAAAAGTACGAGGGAGGTATCGTCGATGACATGCATTTGTTAGGGAATGTAATTGTTTGCCTTCGCCTGGCGTTAGCCATGCACAAGACCTTGGTATTGTGCGTAGTTGTTTGTAGTTGACGATCGACCTTGGTATTGTGCGTAGTTGTTTGTAGTTGACGATAGGCCATGCTCGCAATCCAGATAAAGCATGTCGTGTGAGACCTGGGATGCACCTCAACAATGACGGTCCAGAACCACCAGGCCCTAGGTTTCCTTGCGATGTTGTGGATGCTGATGCTGGTGATGCCAAATCTAAGGACTGATTAAAGAAGAATGTGTACATGCAATTCACTTGGCGCCAGGCTGTCTTTCAATTTGTGCTGTTTAGCCAGTCGCGCGGTACCTTTCACATGCCCGATACGACGCCAGTTTCGGTTCAATTACTACTTGACAGGCCTTCGTCAGTAGAGACTTTGCGCCAGCACATCCGCCCAGCATCATCAATGATACCTTGTTGTTCTGCCACTCCAAAGTTGAACACTGACCAACAAAATGAGAGCAAAGCGAAATGTAAGAAATATCGGACTTCCAACAACAGCCGATCATCCCGTTACACCGGAGTTGCAACAACTAAACTTAGCAGCTCACTGTTCTGCTTCATTGAAAGCCGCACAGCCATGTCAAAACCTGCATCCTAGACGTAGTTCGGCATGATCGACACCCATCACTTTGACATCCATCCATCAGCGGCTTCGTCGTGTGCCGTCTTGCACAAAGACGATCGTACTCTCCACCGCCAAGTTGCGTCGTTTCTTCTAAGGCAGAGTAAACTAGGGATCTGAACTTGCTTGCTCTTCCAAGAGAACCGTGGTCGTGCGACAACGTGAAGCGCTCGTGAAATGTTCGAAACGGGATACAGTTTCATGCACTTTCTTCCCGTCTCCGTAGGATGCCGAAATGGCTTAAAGCTCTTTATTTTACAAGTCTCGAATAAAGTCGAATCTCTAGAAGTCGGGATTGACGCGTCTCAGGAACCTACGTCGGCCTACTTTACCCTAACCAAATGCCTGCCACCATTTGAGACATCGTCGCCAAATCGATGAGCTCCATCCATGGAAGCCGAGAGAGCAAATTGGCTCTCGCTGTTCGGTGCTGTGCGTGCTCGTCGAGCGAGCGAGTGACCTCAAATTTCGTCTTGTGCAGCTGGCATTCGAAATTCTAGCCGGATGAATCCTTACGATCGTACAGCTTTAGACCCTGGCACGCACGTTGTCCTACATGATGCAAGCGGGATCGTTAGCAGACTCCTTACTCCTCAGCCTCAACGCCAGCGCTATCGACAATATCGTGATCGTCCGCCGGGTATGGTAGGCGGCATGACACACATGGCTCTGCTGCAAGACAAGTTCGACTACCATCGTTCGATGCTCGACTTGCTCAAGTCCGCAGCACAGCATTAGTGCGATCCTGGTCATCAACTTCGACTTGTGATCGCCAAGTTAGCAGTCGGAACACTCTCTTGTTACAGTGACTGCAGTGCTGTGGTCACGCAAAGCCTGAACCTATTGCAGCAGCTTTGACTCGTTCAGTCTCGGACGCAGCCAGCGTCTTTCGCTTTCGAGGCTTCCCTTCTGCCGGACGGAATCACCGTTCGCATCCGAGTCGTGTGTCGCTTTTGTTTTGCACGACCAGCACTGCAAAGCCACGACGACGACAATGACGACGACGACAGTTCAGTAGATTGTGTTCGAGATTTCTTTCCGCCGAAAAACACCGAAACATATCCAGTGCGACGCCGTCTAACGGCCACGTTGAAGTGATTGCAGCGAGCACGTGCACGAGTGTGTGAGTGAGTGAAATGAATGAGTGCGTGAGAGACCTCGGATCCAGCAACGAAGCACAGAGATCCACTCCAAAGCGCACGAGGACGGGGTATGAGAAAAGCTTCCCGCGAGTGAGAGGGGGATCCCGAAACTTCGTTAGAACATCACGTGTCGTAACGGTCGGATGAACGACGACCTGCAGCGGATGTCGAAAGAACGAGGCAGCAGCCAGCACGAGGACGAAAGGGAGTGCGGTCGAGTGCACGACCAGTTCCTCATTCGCTCTGAACCTGCCGATACGAACTGAGAACGAGCGAACAGCTCGCCACTCGCACTCTCTCACAGCAGACGACGACCCCGACTCGAGGTCACGACGCTTCCACTCACCCAGTCGTCATCAGCTGCTCGCCACTCTCTTCGAGTGCTGTTCGCCTTCCTCCAGCGGTTGTCGGTCCGTCCGTCCGTCTGTCTCTTTGCTTGCAGTTCTCTCGTATCTGCGTGCGTGCGTGCGTCCTTTGGCAGCCACCGACGCTGTGCTGTGCCTGGCGTCGACCATTAGTCGGACGATCCACACGCCCATTCAGTTAGTCAGTCAGCCGCTCAGTCCCTCGACCTCCTTCTCGCCTTTGCTGCTGTCATTGTCTCACAATCGCCACGAGTCTCCACCCGAACTCCTCTCTCTCTCTCTCCTCGTCCTCCATGCCCGGTCGATCCTTGACCTCGCACTGCAGCAGCAGCCCCCACTTGCACATCAACACCACAGAAATCGCAGATCGCTACGAGCCGCAGACGTCCCTGCGCTCGGCCCTCTTTGGCGAGATCCTCCTGTGTCGCGACCGTCTCACGCTTGACCGCGTCATCGTCAAGACTGTGGACCTGCAGCTGGCACGACGACAGACGTCGCGCAAGCAGGAGCTCGTGCAGGAGAATGTGCAGCTCGAAGTCGAAGGGCTCAACCGCGTGCGCGCGCTGGGCGGCCACCCGAACATCATCAAGCTCCACCGTTGCTTTGTGACCAAGGGGGTGCTGCACCTGGTGCTTGACTACTGCGAGGGCGGCGACCTGTTGGACGCCTGTGTACAGCGACGCTGCTCAGCGGACGACCGCAAGAAGACGAAGAGACGCAGTGGCACAAGCAGTTGCAAGAGTAGCAGAAGCAGTCGCAATCGTAGCAATTGCAAGAGCGATAGCAGCAATAGCAGTACTGGTTGTGGTTGCAGTGATGGCAGTTGCGGTCCGAGAGAAGACGCCAGCGCAGCCGTCGAGGGAGCGACGCTAGTGACGGATGACGAGCTCAGTCCCGAAGACGACGACGAGGAAGCCACCGAGGACGACGGACCGCTTCGAACCGGCGTGGACGGCTCCAAGCGTCTACAGGAGACGGTCGCGCACAAGTACCTCGTGGACGTGCTCTCGGGGCTGCGCTTCCTCCACTCGCACGGCATTGCCCACCGAGACGTGAGTCTCGAGAACATTCTGCTGCGCAACGGGTGCGCCGTGCTCGCCGACTTTGGGCTGTGCGTGCCGGAGCTGTCGTCCGTGTCAACGTCGTCCTTGTCACGGACGTCCTGGAGCCATCAGACGACCGCAGGCGCATTTTACTGTGACGAGACAGTGGGCAAGGACTACTACATGGCGCCCGAGATCGTGGCCCGCAAGCGCTACGACCCTCGACGGGCTGACATTTGGGCCACGGGCATCGCGTTCTTCATTTTGCTCACGTCGTCGCCGCCGTTCGAGCGTGCGGACCCTTTGGACCCGGGCTTTCGGTACGTGGCGAAATGCGGCATCCAGGCCGTGTTTACGGCGTGGGGACTCGACCAGGACGTGTCGGAGGCCATGCAGGATCTGCTGACGCGGATGTTGTGCGTGAACCCGGAGGAGCGCATTACGATGGCCGAGATCTGGCAACACCCGAGGCTACGGCGACCGATGAGCAGCATGTTGTCAACCGGTGGCTGCAGATAAAGGGCACACTCGATGGATGGTGCACGATTTATTGGCGACCGCTTGTCGATGTTGTGCGAGGACGGGAGCAAGGGTCGAGAGCTCAATGGAGCTTGGAGGGAGGAGAGGTCAATTGATAGTTTGTCCGTCCTACTGCTGCTGCGCCTTTATGGAGAGACGGCAGGGCGGGCGGCCACTGGATGCCCGGCATGGACGAGAAAGTGGCATGGGATGAAGTTATAGTTCAGAGATACACAGGACCCCGACGAACCACAAGGACGTTTGGTCCTGCGAAGTGGCAATATCGAGCTGACCAATAGCCGATTGAATGAATGGGAGCATCGCTTTCGGTGCACGGCCTGATCGCGTGCTAAATAGTTAAAACTCAAGTTGCTAAAACAACTGCGACGTCTGCGTGTGCGTGGGGTGGGGTGCATCTCGGTTTGCTGTCGACACGATGGAGCTGGTGAAGGCAACGAAGAAGACGAGGACCGAGTGGCTCGCACAGACCGTGCGTCTTGAGAAAAAGTGGGGCAACAACCGGTGACCAACCTCCATCCTGCGGTCGTGTACCTTGTCTTCTTCCAACAGCTTGCAGTCGTAACCTTTGGTCGTCCTTGTGCTTGTGCTGTCCATACATTCGCCTCTCGTTTTCTCGTGTTCTGGTGCTGGTACAGGAGCTTCTCCAAGAGCGATAGTCTCGGGCAGCGCTTGGTGGAAGAAGCCATGAAGCCGTAGGACGGCAGCAGATTGGTGGCCATTCGTCTGTCGTCAGAGCTGCTTACGTCGACTTTCCGTCTGCTTTTGTTTCCTTAGTCACAATACGTTGCTCATGGCCGTGGATCCGATCGACGCAAGTGTTGTCGGCTATATTCTGTTCCGGCGCAATGGCGTACGTAGGTTTTTGCACCAAAGCGCGACTCAATTCCAAGGTGTTATGCCTCATGTGACGTCGGTGGTGCTGTTTACAGGCTGAAGGCCACATTGACCGCATCGCCGTGGCCGAGCGCCAGAGGCGGAAAGGTCTAGGTCGTTCCTTGCTGCAGTCTGCCATTGCGACTTTGCGCACGAACAGGTTCGTCAAGCAGAAAGACGGAAGATGATAACCGGTCGTCTACCTGTTTGCATCATTTGTGCGTGCTTACTAGCTGCTTCCTGTGCAGGGCAATGACGCTCGTGCTGGAGGTGGACACGACAAACCAAGGGGCTATCGCGCTATACGAGTCACAAGGGTTCAAGCGCACTATTGTCCGCGCAGACTACTACAAATCTGGTCGCGACGCGTTGCTCATGGAGCTGAGTTTGTAGCAATTGCCGACGCTTACGACTCCGAGTGACTACTCGATGTCGCTGCATCATTTAGGTGACGCAGCAGGGGTAAGATACAGTAGAGCTCTTATCATTACCAAGTGACAATCATGAGCAAGAGGTCGAGATGAGCTCGTGGCAATCACGATCGTCCGGTCAGCTCAACTCTTTCATCGCAGCGACCTCCTCATTTTTATAATTCCACTCCTGTGACCGGGCACCACTTCACAGGACCAAACGTCCTTGTGGTTCGTCGGGGTCCTGTGTCTCTCTGAACTATAACTTCATCCCATGCCACTTTCTCGTCCATGCCGGGCATCCAGTAACCGCCCGCCCTGCCATCTCTCCATAAAGGCGCAGCAGCAGTAGGACGGACAAGCTATCAATTGACCTCTCCTCCCTCCAAGCTCCATTGAGCTCTCGACCCTTGCTCCCGTCCTCGCACAACATCGACAAGCGGTCGCCAATAAATCGTGCACTATCCATCCAGTGTGCCCTTTATCTGCAGCCACCGGTTGACAACATGCTGCTCATCGGTCGCCGTAGCCTCGGGTGTTGCCAGATCTCGGCCATCGTAATGCGCTCCTCCGGGTTCACGCACAACATCCGCGTCAGCAGATCCTGCATGGCCTCCGACACGTCCTGGTCGAGTCCCCACGCCGTAAACACGGCCTGGATGCCGCATTTCGCCACGTACCGAAAGCCCGGGTCCAAAGGGTCCGCACGCTCGAACGGCGGCGACGACGTGAGCAAAATGAAGAACGCGATGCCCGTGGCCCAAATGTCAGCCCGTCGAGGGTCGTAGCGCTTGCGGGCCACGATCTCGGGCGCCATGTAGTAGTCCTTGCCCACTGTCTCGTCACAGTAAAATGCGCCTGCGGTCGTCTGATGGCTCCAGGACGTCCGTGACAAGGACGACGTTGACACGGACGACAGCTCCGGCACGCACAGCCCAAAGTCGGCGAGCACGGCGCACCCGTTGCGCAGCAGAATGTTCTCGAGACTCACGTCTCGGTGGGCAATGCCGTGCGAGTGGAGGAAGCGCAGCCCCGAGAGCACGTCCACGAGGTACTTGTGCGCGACCGTCTCCTGTAGACGCTTGGAGCCGTCCACGCCGGTTCGAAGCGGTCCGTCGTCCTCGGTGGCTTCCTCGTCGTCGTCTTCGGGACTGAGCTCGTCATCCGTCACTAGCGTCGCTCCCTCGACGGCTGCGCTGGCGTCTTCTCTCGGACCGCAACTGCCATCACTGCAACCACAACCAGTACTGCTATTGCTGCTATCGCTCTTGCAATTGCTACGATTGCGACTGCTTCTGCTACTCTTGCAACTGCTTGTGCCACTGCGTCTCTTCGTCTTCTTGCGGTCGTCCGCTGAGCAGCGTCGCTGTACACAGGCGTCCAACAGGTCGCCGCCCTCGCAGTAGTCAAGCACCAGGTGCAGCACCCCCTTGGTCACAAAGCAACGGTGGAGCTTGATGATGTTCGGGTGGCCGCCCAGCGCGCGCACGCGGTTGAGCCCTTCGACTTCGAGCTGCACATTCTCCTGCACGAGCTCCTGCTTGCGCGACGTCTGTCGTCGTGCCAGCTGCAGGTCCACAGTCTTGACGATGACGCGGTCAAGCGTGAGACGGTCGCGACACAGGAGGATCTCGCCAAAGAGGGCCGAGCGCAGGGACGTCTGCGGCTCGTAGCGATCTGCGATTTCTGTGGTGTTGATGTGCAAGTGGGGGCTGCTGCTGCAGTGCGAGGTCAAGGATCGACCGGGCATGGAGGACGAGGAGAGAGAAGAGGGAGTTCGGGTGGAGACTCGTGGCGATTGTGAGACAATGACAGCAGCAAAGGCGAGAAGGAGGTCGAGGGACTGAGCGGCTGACTGACTAACTGAATGGGCGTGTGGATCGTCCGACTAATGGTCGACGCCAGGCACAGCACAGCGTCGGTGGCTGCCAAAGGACGCACGCACGCACGCAGATACGAGAGAACTGCAAGCAAAGAGACAGACGGACGGACGGACCGACAACCGCTGGAGGAAGGCGAACAGCACTCGAAGAGAGTGGCGAGCAGCTGATGACGACTGGGTGAGTGGAAGCGTCGTGACCTCGAGTCGGGGTCGTCGTCTGCTGTGAGAGAGTGCGAGTGGCGAGCTGTTCGCTCGTTCTCAGTTCGTATCGGCAGGTTCAGAGCGAATGAGGAACTGGTCGTGCACTCGACCGCACTCCCTTTCGTCCTCGTGCTGGCTGCTGCCTCGTTCTTTCGACATCCGCTGCAGGTCGTCGTTCATCCGACCGTTACGACACGTGATGTTCTAACGAAGTTTCGGGATCCCCCTCTCACTCGCGGGAAGCTTTTCTCATACCCCGTCCTCGTGCGCTTTGGAGTGGATCTCTGTGCTTCGTTGCTGGATCCGAGGTCTCTCACGCACTCATTCATTTCACTCACTCACACACTCGTGCACGTGCTCGCTGCAATCACTTCAACGTGGCCGTTAGACGGCGTCGCACTGGATATGTTTCGGTGTTTTTCGGCGGAAAGAAATCTCGAACACAATCTACTGAACTGTCGTCGTCGTCATTGTCGTCGTCGTGGCTTTGCAGTGCTGGTCGTGCAAAACAAAAGCGACACACGACTCGGATGCGAACGGTGATTCCGTCCGGCAGAAGGGAAGCCTCGAAAGCGAAAGACGCTGGCTGCGTCCGAGACTGAACGAGTCAAAGCTGCTGCAATAGGTTCAGGCTTTGCGTGACCACAGCACTGCAGTCACTGTAACAAGAGAGTGTTCCGACTGCTAACTTGGCGATCACAAGTCGAAGTTGATGACCAGGATCGCACTAATGCTGTGCTGCGGACTTGAGCAAGTCGAGCATCGAACGATGGTAGTCGAACTTGTCTTGCAGCAGAGCCATGTGTGTCATGCCGCCTACCATACCCGGCGGACGATCACGATATTGTCGATAGCGCTGGCGTTGAGGCTGAGGAGTAAGGAGTCTGCTAACGATCCCGCTTGCATAGCGCAGGACAACGTGCGTGCCAGGGTCTAAAGCTGTACGATCGTAAGGATTCATCCGGCTAGAATTTCGAATGCCAGCTGCACAAGACAAAATTTGAGGTCACTCGCTCGCTCGACGAGCACGCACAGCACCGAACAGCGAGAGCCAATTTGCTTTCTCGGCTTCCATGGATAAAGCTCATCGGTTTGGCGACGATGTCTCAAATGGTGGCAGGCATTTGGTTATGGTAAAGTAGGCCGATGTAGGTTCCTGAGACGCGTCAATCCCGACTTCTTGAGATTCGACTTTATTCGAAACTTGTAAAATAAAGAGCTTTAAGCCATTTCGGCACCCTACGGAGACGGGAAGAAAGTGCATGAAACTGTATCCCGTTTCGAACATCTCACGAGCGCTTCACGTTGTCGCACGACCACGGTTCTCTTGGAAGAGCAAGCAAGTTCAGATCCCTAGCTTACTCTGCCTTGGAAGAAACGACGCAACTTGGCGGTGACGAGTACGATCGTCTTTGTGCAAGACGGCACACGATGAAGCCGCTGATGGATGGATGTCAAAGTGATGGGTGCCGGTGATGCCGAACTACGTATAGGATGCAGATATTGACATGGCTGTGCGGCTTTCAATGAAGCAGAACAGTGAGCTGCTAATTTTAGTTGTTGCAACTCCGGTGTAACGTGATGATTGAGTGTTGTTGGAAGTCCGACATTTCTTACATCTCGCTTTGCTCTCGTCTTGTTGGTCAGTGTTCAACTTTGGAGTGGCAGAACAACAAGGTATCATTGATGATGCTGGGCAGATGTGCTGGTACAAAGTCTCTACTGACGAAGGCCTGTCGAGTAGCGATCGATCTGGTAGTGACATCTTATCGTACTGTTAGGAGGCGTTGTCGACTTAGAAGGAGCGCATAGATCAACGCAAAAGCTTAGAAAGGAAAGCTCGCTGGATCAGCATTTCTGGTTTCGAATGCCGAATTTCTGACGCAGGCTAGCAGCAGCCACTTCGTCACCCATTTTGAAACAGACGGATCTGTATCGGCTGTCGCGTATTCACTGATCGAGAGGATACTTATAGCTGCAGTACCAAAGATGATTCCACAGTTTGAGAGCAGACCACCATGGCAAGAAACATTGCATGTGCTGTAACGAAGTGAGGAGCGGTAGTACTAGAGATGAGGTCGTCTACACGTCGTCAATTACTTTCTCACCGCGGAGCTCTGATGACATCAAAAGTGCCACGATGAGTACAATGACGTATCACGACACTACAGTTCACACCGTGCACACTTTGCAAGGCTTCAAAAAAAAACTCGGATACCGATAAAATGGATCACGGGCACCGTAAACTCTGCCCGGCGGATCAAATGGCCACCGTTCTCACTTGCAGTCAAGTAGTACATGTACGAAAGTATCGCCCACTCTTTTGCTATCCTTCATGCACGTAGTAACCAGTCACCGCTGCAACCCATGGTACTTGATCATCAGTGGCTGTTCATTTTCGAGCCGCAATATGCACGCTGCTCGTCATCGAACGTTGCACCAACGTTCACGCCAAAGTCTTCGTCAAGTACGCTTGAAGCTCTTATTTCCAAAATTTGCGTGCTCTCCGTGGATTCCGCTTGAACCAGGGCTTCTAGCACTCGTCTCAGGTCCGTCGTCATTTCGGTCCATATGCGTCGAGGTGATCTTCGATGTTGCAACAAATATGCACAGGACGTATCCTTCTTCGATGCGTCTTAGCGACTTCTTTTTCTACTTTCGCGTTCATGAATCTTCCGCTTATGATAATGGCGCAAGCGACTGCTTATTTCGGTGATTCCGGAAATCGCTTTGTCGATCGCAGTTGCTTGACCTATCAACGTGCAGACTATCACATGGGTCGCCGGATCCACATGATGTCAATTGCGTCATCCAACTCACTAGCACAGTATGATATGGCAAGCTAGCGAGCGCCATCTTCATCCACGTCCATATTCTAGATAGCATACTTCGGGCTGGCCAGCCCAGTCGTTCGTTAAATGTCTTGCACCTCTTACAATGATGGAGCGTTACGTCAATGTAGCGCCTTCCCTTCAGTCACATCAGACTTTTTTCAGCTGCCATGGTCGCCTCGTTCTGCATATCCTCGAGAAGGCATGTAAAGCTCTGCTCAGACCCGGTTCTCTGGTGGATTCTCTGCTGAAGAGCTCGTCGCAGCACAGGCGCTTAACTCGTTATTCATTAGAGCTGAGTGCTTCCCTCCTGTTCTTCATGCAGGCATTACCGTTGATTCTAAACCAGGTCCAGTCATCGAAACGCACATCGATGTGTTTTCTATGACGCATCTTGAGGCCAACCACTTCTGGCCACAATTACCACTTCCAGCATGAACGCATACAGGGCCCAGGCATGTCTGTCTCAATTGCTGGGTCTTGATTGGAAAGAGTACGAGAGAAAGCCGTCCGTCGGAGGTGGTTTGGTGTGTCTCTCAACCCCCAAATTTTTTTTTTTTCAAGAAAGGGGGGGTGTACTAAGTTTGGGGGGGGTGGGTTGACACCTCGGCTGTCAGATAAAGACTCTGTTCTCTAGGTTCCGTCCACCTGAATACTCTGAGGCAAAAGTGAAAGTAAGGAACGCGTGGCATGTAGCATCAGGTGGTATGTTGCAGCTTGTGATACAAAAGAAACCAAAGAAAGCAAGCGTCACATGTTTCCTGTTGCCGTCACCCTTGGTAATTACATGGCGGCATCACTGGATTCATCCAAGAATGCTGGCGCGATCGTGTCACATACGTGATCTAATCTGGAGGGCGAACTCCGTCTCTCCCCACAAACTACAACTGAACGCCAGTCATACAGGGCTCACTTGACATGCACAATTCAAACTGGACCGCCGCAGAAAAACTGTGTACTGGCGATAAGCAGAAAGGCGTGAGATGCTGATGGCACTTGTGTCCGATTCAATGAATGATCAGCAGCGTCACTACTGGCAATAGTGCTGCTCTTGTATGCAGATTACGTTGTATAGGGTCATTTGCTCTTCCAATTTATGGAGGTGGAAGGGTAGACGCCGGCGACAACGTTATGGTTGTTATTCTGTCACCACTAGATCATTATAAAGCTTGACAAGAATCGCTGAAGCTATCCAGCGGAAATGCGTGTCCGTACAAACCTGTAAACAAACTCAAGTGGGTAGAGCACTACCACTGGTTTCAGCGCAAACACATCGATGAGGCATAGTATTGGCGCTGCGTGTTGCCACGTTTAGATTACATCGTTGGTCCGGAGCCGGCGTGGAATATTGCGGACCTGAAGAAGCCTTCGCATTGCAAGAGGGACATGCAGAGATTTTAGCCAGGTGTACACTTCATAGATTAGTTGATGGTGTACTATCGCAGTCACTCCAAGAACATGAAGACGCTGCGGTCTATTACAGTTACGAGGGCAATTTCAGCGTGTCAAGGCTTCAAAATATTAGAAGGCTTCCAAAGAGCTTTCGTGGTATGTGTCGTCTTCACTTCCTTCTATGAATCCTAATTTAGGTAAAATGCTTTGCAGCCGATTGCCTGCGCAGCGGAATTTAGGTGTTTAAACATGTTAAGATACCATGCTCCAATCTCTCATTATTTTCATCCAGAATATTTATATTCATGCAAAAACGGTGAATTTCAAATCTAGCCACAACTGGGTTGTCGAGGTCGTGTCCCACCAGCTGAACTCAGCGTGCATTGTCGAGCCAAAAAGAGGATAATATCCTTTACCTGCATCATTGCATACTATGGATTACTCAAATTCCGTGTAACTCATGGTTACATTAAAGAAATAAAAACCATTAATCGGAATATCGAGCCGGCCTCATAAAATCGAGATCTATTTTTATTCGTTCGATTTCTGCGAGACCAGGATATTTAGAATATCCTCGCAAAGCCGTGAAGCACGGATAAATCCTACGTGCCTACGGCGGGTCTTGTCATTTTTGACAGCTTTAACTGCATCCAGGACATGAAGCATTCCAGTTGCATCCGTTGCACCCGCGATCCTACTTTGTAGCTGGGGGTGCGCGACTCGCCGTTTATAGCCGCATACTAGCTTGTGTTTATACTTCGCGTACTAATGTCGAGTGACAAGTCGTGACAACCGGAACAAATGCAAACACGGGAGCAGTTTGCTCAAAAAGTGTGACTTGCACGTCCACGCTACCAGGTGTGAACATGCACGACTTTTGTTAGTCGCTCGGACTCAGTCGCAATATCCTTGCACGAGCCAATGTGCTAGTAGATACTTTATGTCTTCTGAGAAGTGCCACCTATACGCTATCAGTCATCGTCCTCCTACAAGAGCGGCCCGACGATCGTCGCAAACGAGCGAGATTACAACAAAAGCTGCAGCACGCAAATTCTCTAAACTTGGTAGCCCCCGTTCGTAGATTTGAGGCTGGCACATGGGCTTAGGATGGCTAGGTCGTGTGCAATTTCGGGCAGAAGTATCGGATTCACAGAAGTAGTGGGAAGGCAGGGCTTTTGTCGCGACAACGCGACGATTGGAATTAAAAGTCAGACGACATACGAAGACTCGTGTGAACGTGATCAACGTAGCGCCGGGTTGTGATGGCATAGAGCACGCAAGCTTTTCCCGGCTGCAGATTGTGGGTCACCTGGAAGAAAGGCTGTCGAAAAACGGACCTTTCAGTGGGCAGTGTCGACACGCAGCAAGTGGATGTTGAATGAACCGCCGTGATTGTCAATGCGTGGCGAGGACGTTAGTGGCTTCCTACCTGTCTGTCTGGACGAAACTTGGGTATTGAAAGTCCTTTGCGGGCATGCAAGGCCTGCGACATGGTTCTAAAATCGGCTTCTCAAATGAATAGTTTTTATCAAATCTGATATGTTGTTTGTACTTATAAACCAAAATGTCCACATCGTCTTCAGAGGACAGCTTGGCCGAGTGGTTAAGGCGATAGACTTGAAATCCATTGGGGAAACCCGCGTGAGTTCAAACCTCACAGCTGTCGAAACCTTTTCACATCAACCGACCATCCTGTCAGTACGTCTCCTCCACTACCATCTCAATACTCGCACCCGCAGTCACTCGTAACATTCCATTGAACAACATGTACCTATTTCATTCGACCAACCGTCCTGACCCGCCACATTCACGAGCGCAACACGCTGCATCCTAGCTTCACTTGCTCCCTTCCTCGCCCTTTTCTCTACATACTCTGCATTATGTTTCTACTGTCTCGTCGCCTCCTGCTTTCGCTGCACTCGTATCCAATAACTTAAACACCTCTCCATCCATCCATCCTCCGCTCTCTCTCGTCCATTCGTTTTGCCCCAAAAGTCCGCATCTCCATCACGTCCTCCTCCTCCTCTCCTCCTCTTCAAAACTAGAGAATCGCGTGCAAACTCACGCGCTGCTCATCGTCAAGCGAGACGCGATGAGCCAGCACAACGTCTTCTGATCGCTCTGCTTCCGGCGCATATGCCGGTCCAGCCGACGCCTGGCGGTAGAACGCATTCGGGTCGCTCACCCGCGCCACTTTGCCCGAGTACCGGTGCTGCTGGTTCCCGTACATGAGACTCGTGTCGCTCCGACGGGAGCTCGCAATGTAGCTATGTCGAAGATCGCTCCGGTGCTCGCCACTTCGACGGGCCGACGCAAAGCTCCGGCGCATACACGGGCCCATGTCACTCGGTCGCAGTTGGTTCAAGTCGCTCGACCGCACAGTGGACGACCCGCTGCCATACGATCCGTTCTCGCCGTAGGACCCACGGGACCGACGCGCTGCTGCGCCGTACGCTTGGAAGAACTTTTGCATCTCAAAGCTCAGTCGTCCATCAGTGCCACCGCTCGAACGCGGCGTCGTGGAAGACGGGAGCACGTGCCCCACGCCGCTTTGGTAGAACTTGTCCATGTCGCCGAGATCAATGACGGACCGGACGCTCGAGGCCGTGGTGGTCTGCGATGTGTACGAGAAGTTGGACGCGATTGAACGGGGTCGAGGATAAGCCACCAGAGGACGCGTAGCTGTTCGAGCGACGACGAAGGAAGCCGGAAGATCGACAGGACGAGGCCGGGACGCCATCCGGTGGCATGTCCGACGCAATGTCGGCGTCTCCCGTCCCATTCACGTCAGAAGACGAGGCGGCAAAGTTGGTGCTGCTACGACGTGAGGACTCGAGCCGCTCGACGCGATGGGATGAAGAGACGGACGACCTCGGGACGTAATCGACGTAGGCCGCATGACGGTTGCCCTCGTCTTCCTCGTTGAAAGAGCCCTGCTGAACCTCCCGACGTCCGACCAGTGCACTGGCATCTGCCTCGATAAAGTCAAAGTACTGCGTCTTCTGGATCCAGCCTTCCGGGATGACGTCCAACCCGTCCTGAGCGGCAAAGCACGCCCCAATGAACATGGCACGGCGGCATGTCCGGCCTCCTCCGATGATGTTCTCGCGGACAGCAGTGGGGTAGTCGTTCAAGACAAAGAGCGGCTGCAACACGGCGTGGAAACCACCGGGCAGGGACCCGCGGTTGCCAAACTTCTGAATCGCTTCGTAACTCGGGAGCTGCGACTTGGTAAAGGCCTTGAAGATCACTTTGCGCTGCTTGACACTCAAGCGTTCCGTGCGGATACTCATGCGCATGGCCTGAAGGACCGATGCGCCAAGAATCACTTGCTCCAGCACAAATGCAGCAACAAGAGCGGCATCTCGGACCCGAGTACCGACGTAAAAGACCTTGACCAGCTCGTCCACTTTGGTGAACAACTGGTTGGTACCTGCGTAAAGCGCGACGACAATCGGGATGAGCGACAGCACGTCGATCGAGCGGCACTTGACGGCACAGTGCGGCCACCCTTTGCCCGAATGCACGCGCTTGATGAACGCTCGAGACGACGCACTCAGCAGCCGATGGTCGTTCTTGAAGCCCCAATAGGCGTCTTTGGCCAGCTGCGAGCCGTGGATGTGCCCTCGTCGGGCAATGCACTGGAGCAGGATCCGCGCTTCAAAGCCTGTGGACGACTCGAGACGCGCGCGTCCTCCTTTCTTGTCGTGGCCGTCGCCCGAGTCGTAGAGACCACAGAAGGCCGGGTCAAAGTCCAGCCGCAGGAGGTTCGGGATGGTCTTTTCCGGATGGGAGACGCCATTGAGCGACGTGGACGCTGCGTCGGCCACAAAGCCGCCAATGAGCGCAGCAAGGGCTCGCCGTCGAGCTGCGGCACTCAATGGCAAGTCGAGCGTAGCACTGGGCAACGGGCGTTCAACGGCCTGGACGAACTCGGGCGTCGTGGCCGTGAAGCGGTAGAAGCGCTTCTTGTTGTACTCGAACTTGGTCTCTTTCTCGACCTTCTCAATGTAGTGGAACGAGAGCATGCCCTGGCCTTTGCGCACGGCCTCGGCGACGCTCTTGGCCTCCATCTGCTCGAGCATCCAGTCCACGGCTTCCATGCCCGTGAAGCAGTCGCGGTACTTTTTGAACAAGTGGCGCCGCCGGTCTCCCGTAGCCACGTTTTGCTTCATCCGAGCGGCCAGACGCAAGAGCGTCTCCTCGAGCTCCTGCTCCTGGTCGCCATTGACTGCGGACGACTCGGGCACGCGCTCGACGGCCGTCGGCATGGAAAACTGCATGGGATGGGAGGGGAGGGGAGGAGGAAGAGAGGGACGGAGAGAGAGAGAGAGAGAGAGAGAGACTCGATGCGCAACGAGGGACGATGAGCCGCGAGTGCGCTTCTGGCCTCTCTGCTGCAAAGACAAGAGTGACCAGAGCGGGGGAGGGGCGTCGGGTTGCCGTGGCTCGGGCGTCCGCTTGTGACGCGCTTGGAGTGAGAAACACAGACGGAGCAGTCGACAGCCAGCCAGCTGGACAGACAGACAGACAGACGGACGGACGCTGCGTACACACCGTGAGAGACAGAGACGCGCCAATGGCGTCGCGCGGGTCTTATTACGCTGGTGTGAAACGGGACGGGGTTGCACGCTGTCCTCGAGGTGCACTGGCTCTTCTGAACCGACTCGACCAGGTGCTGCGGGAGGTGGTGATACAGACGACGCGCACGTCGAACGTGAAGACGAGCCGACAGCTCTTGAAAGGGTGCGGTTTTGTTCGACGGTAGATAGAGACTGACTGAGATTGGGGGAGAATGAGGGAGAAAGAGAGAGAGAGAGAGAGAGAGGAGGGGGGCGTCGTTTTGCTGCTCTAGTTATGAACGACTTGATGGTCTCTCTCTCTCTCTCTCTCTCTCTCTCTACGAATGTGTTTACTCCTCCGTTTCGTCACGTGGTCCTGCAAGTGATTGCTGCTGCACGGAAACGTTCGCGATGTTGACAGCGGTTTAGGAGGAACTGACTGAGCGCATGTGCCTCACGAGGCCGCAGGGCTTTTAGCTTGCAGAGGTTCAACATCTAGACGGCTTGTCAAAATGGCGTACATGAAGCTTCCCATTAGACCAGACGGATGGCAGAAATACCTTTTGGTTGTGGCTCGAGCAGCTTGAACGCACGACGTCCTCACCTCTTCCTGGCTGCAGTTTCTGACAGGAGTAACATCAAGAGCACAGCGCGTTGCGTTGACATCGTTCAGTCGGTCGGTCGATCGATCTCTGACTCGAAAAAATGAGTGTGTCGCCGCCGTCCAGCATCGTCGAGTAAGATCGCGTTGTTGCGTGATGGAGATGGCTGCGCTCGCGAGCAAGATCGGCTTCAGGCCGAACGGGTGTCGAGCGAGGGGAAGCGCTGGGATAGGCGGGAGACACAGCCGCATTTCGGCAATTGCGGGCCTATCCATTGACGTGTCCACGCCGTTACATGGTCGCACCGTGAACCTAGCTAGCTCTCTCGACTCATGAGCGAAAGAAGTGGCGAGGGGACGCCATCCACGCGCGATCACTCGTTAGTTTTTCCACCTCGTTGTCGCTTTACGATCTCGTCGACTTGTCGCTCGTTCACTTGACGCCAGTGGCTCCTACATCGTCGTCAGCAAATATCTCAGTGAATCAACCCTATCACTGCGTTTTGCGCTGGACTATTGTAGGTACCGTTAGGTGTTTGCCATCGACTGAGGGTACGAGAGACATTGGCGACTGCACCGACAGACAGTGGCTCTGGTTAAGAAGCTGGTATCCGACGTCGACTCGGTGATCCCACGGCCACACTTACCAACGGCATGATTACGACCACTGGATCAAAGTGAGCTATCGACCACGTCGACTGGTTTCCCAAAGTCTTCTTCTACTCATGTCGATACAAAAGGTTAGGACGACTAAGCAAGGCGGTGGAGCTGGAGACACGTCCAAGATAGGGATGCTGTAGTGTTTACAGAGTCGTGACGCACAGAAGCGCTGTAAAAACGGACCACCAGATGCCGCCAACAGTTGTCTCGTTCTTGGTGTTCGGCACAACAGGAACGAGATCATGTTCGTCGAGTGGATCCTCGAACAGCGCAGTCGATTGATTGATTGATTGGGAGCGTGTGAAATACACACGACCGCAACGAACCTCATGACAGCGAACACTGCCCGACTCGAGAGGAGAGTCGTAGCTACCACAGAAGGGTCTGATCTACTCAAGTTGGCTGTCCATGTTGCGTCATCTACGCTCGGGTGCTGGAGGTTGTCCAGTATCACACAACGTCTAGTAAGCCGGTGGGTGTCCGTGGACGCAGGATCAGTCGTATTCGAAACGATGTGGACGTGAACAGCTAGGGGACGTAGCTGTTTTAGTGAGGAAGATGATGCTCTCGTGCTGTAGATATCCATGTTGCTCGCACGTTCCCACTTCAAGTGTCGTACGAGCGATCTCCAGGATCGGCAGTCCACATCAACACCTGTGGTCGTCCCCCTTTCTTCAGCCTGGCGGATTCTAGGGGAAGCGGTCTATCCTCATCGCAGCTGCCGACCAGGAGACAGGACGGAGTTGTAACTGCAAGGACGTCGACGGTCGCAGCTGGTGTCGGCACTTCAGCGAGTAATCGATGGCGATCGTTGACCGTAATGGTCACACTAGTCCCTCTTCTTTCTGTTTCAGCTTTGGGGTGTAATGAAGTCGCAGCAGTCGTTTCTGGTACACTAGAAGCAGGAAGGCCTGGCTGTTTGCCACTGCGACTCGGAGGACCTTGAGCAGGTCCATTCATTCGCCCCTTCGACGCGAGTAACGGTGCTACCTTCGGTATATCACTTTCTTATAGAGATCTTCCCCAGCGTGTGAAACGGGAAGTTGGGCACTTCTTTGTCCGTCGAAAGAGCGTGATGGGGCTCTCTTCCCGGCTGATTACGCCTTCGGTCATGTGGAAGATATAGAGGGCTTCGGTAGAGTCGAGGCAGAGGTGGGGGATCGAGTTTCGTCCGTGCTAGCGTTAGTAGCACCGGGGGATGTGGTATCCATTGACGTCCACCTCAGAGACTTTGAGTCAACGATAGTAGCCATGAAGTACGCGGACACTTCAGTCGTCAAGCTTTTGTCGTTGCGACCACGCTATTCACTGTGGGGGTATTATGGAGGTCATGCCGGTATAGCTCAAGCTTTCGTGCTCGAGAACGTGTGCAGTCGGGACATGAATGGCTGCGGGAACTTGCATCAGCGACAGGTACACAAGTGATCTTGAACGGTATTACTGCAACAGATGACAGGGTCATGATGAAGTATGGCTGCCCTGCCTGCAGAAGGATGGCTTCGGGGTGAGATTTTACTGCAGCGACCCAGTCGCTTGAGTAGGAATGGACTACCGAGGGCTTTGACGTCAACAGCGACGGTAAGCACGGGTCAGGGCTGGACGGTGATTTATGGTCACTTTGGCATTACTGTTGGGTTGTGCGGTACCGAGGTGGCCACCGGACCAGTGTTTCTTCATGGTGCGGTCCAAACAGGTGATCCTCTACGGAGTGGGTCACTACTGGAAGAGCTTTTGGTCACAAGCTTACATGTGGTGACAGTAGCTGTGGGTGCCAACAATCAGCTGCCACGCTGTAGTGCCACATTGAGCAGCACTCAAGGCGACAACGGTCGGCTGGGAACGCTCACGTCCTGATCATTTGCAATTGGCAGGTCCGATGGTTGTACATTCTTGTCGAGCTCCCTGTTTGACGACCAGGCTGCGGCAGTTCCATGGAGAATACCATCCACTCAGCGCAAGCACTACGGTGACTGTCAGCAGAGGAAGCGGCTTTGGCTGCTGGGTAGCATTCATGGTGGTATCCGTCTTTGTACGGAGAATAACCACTGAAGCAACCGGAGTGCCGTTTGTCGTGGGGCTCCACGTTGTGCTGGGGAGCTCCTTGCCGCTTGGGTACCAATCAATGAGGATGACTTGAACAGCGAAGCTTGCTACTTCTTTCGATGACGTATAGAGCAGGCTTGCTCTCCGCGTACGATAATACATTTCTTGCTGTGCAAGTGGACAACGCCTTGTGCAAGCCACCAGCAGAGGCCAACACGAGTAAAGCACAAGGAAACTGACGCAGCGGCGCAATGTACTGGATGGCTCCATGCTGCCATCATAAACGACAGCAAGAACCGTGTCCGTCAGTCAGTCAAGTGCCTCAACAGGTCTTTCTTCGCTCAAATATGGTAAATAACGGTTTCATTCAGGACTCCGCGTGACCGTTTGCGGCAACAGTTTGACGCACACAACTTGGCGCGGTACTTTGGTGTCGTGGGGATTACTTGGTGTAAAAGCCATTGTAGTCCAATCGCGTACACAGATTCGACAGGTGCGAATTTTGCTGTCAACAAGCGCAAAGTGTAAACGATCATGTGTTAGCACAAGAACGTCTCGGTGTGGTATACAGACATCGGGTAGCAGTACCTGCAAGAGCGATCTTCGTAGCAACTGCTGCATGAACTCGCCAAGCAGCGAGTCAAACCGGGTCCCCAAATCGTTCGTCATTCGTACGAACGGGTTTTCTTCGTCGCCTTCGCGTTCAGTCAATGCCCGCTTCACGTCGTCGGACAAGACCTTAATGCGTGTGCGCCGCATATCCACCTGCGAGGACTGCTGACGCCTCAGCACGCTGCCTTTCTTCTTTCCGCCAAACGTTCCCTTCTGTCGCTGGTAGCTCGCCAGAGCAACTTCCGCTTCTTCACGCGCCCTCTTCTCCGCCCGGCGATCTCGCTCAGCCTCGCGTTCAGCCTTGATTGTTTCTTCATCCAGAAAATACGGCCGTGTGAAGCTTTCGATGCTGTTGGCAAATGTCATGCACACTGTCATGAGCTGGGTCAACACTCGCAGCAGCTCTGGATCCGTCAATAAGCACTCCTTCAAGCAGACATCAAGAAACTCGCCCTGGAACCCTAAAATGTCGTCCACAGTGCCCGCAGTTGCTAGTTGCTGCTGGAAGTCGTGCCATCGAGGAGAAATGACTTCGAACATCATGTAGTATACCAAATTCTGCTGAAAGTGCAGCATACGCTGCCGCGAACAAAATGACGGCCCGAACGCAAAGCGCAGTGACAGCTCCTTTGTTGCTTGGTGACTCAGCCAGGCATCACAAAGCTGGCGCTCCACATGCTTGCAGAAGAATATGTGCCGGAAAATCATTTGGTACTTGGTCAGCGCCCCGCACGAGATGACGAGTGATAAAGGCCACTTGACGTTGTAGTCAAGCGTAAACGCGTCAATTACCTTGTAACCTGGCTGGCCTATGGTCGAAGACTCGAACGTCGTCAGTGAATCCCTAGGGCCTTTCTGCGCACGCTGGTGAATCGCCTCCATGTGAGAAATGAGATTATGCGGTGACAGGAAGCATTGAAGGTCATCCTTGTACGGGTCTGAAGAGCAAGTTGACGTCTGGAGTGACAAGTGAAGCAGAGATTCCAAGCGAGGCAGCGACAATTTGTCCGCACGTAGCTTCAGTTCTTCTTCAGCGACGTCCATAAAGTCAACAAAGAAGTCGCCTTGGTCCATTAGGAAGTAGTGTTTCAGCGAGGCCAACCGATTCTCGAGGTCATTTTCACGCACAAACAGATTCAAGAGCATCTCGCTCGCGAACGCATGCGCCTTGTCAATCAGCTCTTCGTATAACGATTCGCTTGCTGAGAACGTGATTTCACCGGCAAAGGGGCAATCTACCTGGCGATTGCACGTGCGAAAAACATTCAGGTACTTGCCCGCAGTCAAGATTTTTGGCGCTACACGCGACAGGAAAAGCGGCACCTGTGATGCACGAATTGTATAGCGGCTTTGCCAGTATGTGGAATACGGATTGTCTTGAACATCTTCTTTGCTCACTTGGTCATCCCGTCGGATCATGAACTCATCGTAAGGATCTACTAGATCTCCATGGTATATCCAGCGTTCAACCATCTTTAAGTACGGCACACTGGCGCGCTCCATTAGAAATGAGAACACCTTGCGCGCGTTCAAATCACCCGCCAGAGATGACATCGTTCGCTGGATTTGTGTGAGCAATGAGCCACCGCCAATCGTCTTGCGACAAGCGTTCACCAACACACTCAGCATCTCCAATGTCCGCAAGCTTGGCTGCACGTTGTACCACAATTTCTGGATGGTGAACGGCACAGCACTTCTTGTCTGGTGCTCGAGCTGTCCCACCATTATCCTGTACTCCTTTAATAGCGTTTTCAGTGCCGCGCACAGCGCATGGTTTACCTGCCCATATTCATATCGAGAATACTGCTCAATGTAAAGCATTATCACTAAATAAAACTCGCCCAGGGACAAGCACCGAGATGCCAAGGTCAGGAGAGAAGGATCCATTCCAGGTTGATTTAGCCCGAATTTAAACGAGCGCGTGCATTTGGCAGCACCAACACCACAAGTCTCAGTGGTAGCAAGTTTAATGCAGCGGCCTTCCACGCCGAGAAGCACGTACAACAAGTCATCGACTATGATGGATTCTTGCACTGACAGAGGGTACGTGGACAGTGGCAGCACTGTCGAATCACCATAACCATCAGCGTGATGCCGCTTCGCTTGCGGCAGCACAAGGGCTTCACCAGTCAGATAAGGGCGTTCACGATTCCATTCCGGATCGTAGGGCAGGTTTGACTTTGTGACTTTCCAGACCTGTATTGTATCATCGATTCCATCATTCTCTTTGCTGAGCACAACGGACGAGGTGTTTATACCTCCAGTGTCGAAGTTATCGGGGCGTACAGAGACATAGAGGTCGGCCGTATTCATCTTGAGCATCACTTTGTCACTCGTTGCGATTGCTTTCTGTTGCTCCCACAGTCTACTGGCAGTGTCAGCAGACACGAAGGAGTCTTTGCCGCCTCCCGCGTAGTCCCCACGACCTTCAGCAGCAGGGTTCACGATCCTCCATTTCTCGCTGTTAGAAATCACCGGCCCCCTCTTCGTGGTCAGAGTTTGAGTTGCTGCATCCACCGACAAGAACTGTCCTTTGCAGCTTCCTCCCACACAGTACAACGACACAATATCCGAATAATGGACCTCTCCACAGTCTGATCGTAATGTCGTATTTTGCAGCACAAAAATCTGGTCGTCGTCACCGTCCAGTCCATCGCCGCTCACATCAATTTCCACAAGAGACGGTTGCCTCGCAGTGCGAGCGATCCCCGTGTTCCGACTCGCCCCTGTCATCGATCCAATAACTGGCCTCGGCGGCAAATGCGACGCCGACTGTTGGTGCGAATCGCCGTCTTTTACCACCGATATCCTCAGACACTGTCGACTACTCAGTCTCAGCCGAATAGACGAGTTATAGAGAATCTCGGCCCCACAGCTCGACGGCTCTCTCGATTCCTCTCCCCGATGATGATGGAACGGTCGAGCCACAGACGGCGACACGCTGCTCAAAGGCGACGAGTACTTGGCACTAGAGCCTACAACCCTCACCGATGATCCGCCATACTCGAAAGTAGTAGCAGCACCAGCACTGGCAGCTGGTCCACTCCCAAGCGGCGGCTGCGAGCCCAATAGACTATCCACGCGACTGAGCATCGCTCTGTGTGGAGACAGTCGAGTCGTCCAATCATCCACATGCTTCGTCTGTCGATCGTAGAGTCGAGCTCCAGGCCGTGGCTGGAACTCGAGACTCTCGACGCTCGAAGCGAACGACGCACTGCCGACGTGACTGGACGTGGCATTCGTACTTATGCGTCGACGTGTCTTGTCTTTGTTCATCTGTTGGCAATGCTTCTCCATCTCTTGGCGTGTATGGGGCGAGAGCGGATCGTCGTCACTAATGGGTACACCAAGAGCAGGCGCAGCAGAAGAGACGCGGGACGACGAATAACTGCGGAGACGCACTTCCCTAAGGGCTGAAGCATCAGTATTTGTTCGAGAAGGACCGATTGCTGCTGATTTGAGCGACAGGGAGCGACTGCGGGCGCCAGAAGAGCCATCGAGAGACGGTGGCGGCGGCGGTGGCGCTTCGTCTTGTGGCATTATCTTTTGCGTTGATGGTGGTCAGGTTTCTTAAGTACGCATGGCTTGTCCCGACTAAGTACGGAGGGATGCAAGCTGACACTACGCAAGAGCATAGCCGCACCTAGTGGAAATCAGACTGTGACGCAACATGCGGGTGCGTGAGCTCCTGCTACAGGCTGACGTGCGACCGTGGAATTGAGACTGACGCGCCATGTCTGCAATGTTGCCAGCTTCCAGTGTCTGTCGCTCTGGTGCTGAGCATGCTGCTCTTGTGGCTCCTTGGTGCTGTCTTTACGCCTACGGAAGAGAGAGGAGGCGTGCTGGTGCTGTCGGTGGCAGAGTGAGTCGGTCGCTATAGGCGCTTTAGTCTTGACCATAGACGTGTTTTGCTCGTGTAACCGATTGACCAATTGACTAAATGACCAATCGACCAATTGATTACAATGCGTAATTGACTAACGAATCGACAAATTGGTTGACGAATGACTGTATCGTTATGCGCCTAGTGTAATCCTCCGCCACATTCGTCCGTGGGTCTACGTCACGGCTGGCTTTTACCACCCGTCCATTGTGCAGGTTCGTGCTGTGACTTGATTGCCACTTTGATTGAATTTTGTGCTCCTAATGTGCTGGAACACGCTGCTGATGATGCGTGTATGTCACGCTCTGCTGCAGCTGCTGTTTGTCCTTCCATTGGCTTTTGGTCTCGCAAAGCGCGTGGAGCCAGAGCTGGGCGCTCTGAACCTTGTGCGGCTGTTGCTGTTTGCAAACACTGCAGCGGCGATCGTGCTTTTTGTGAACCTCTTTATGCTCTACGTCGTCTTCCGGGACCCGATCTATTTGTACCGAACGCTCTTTTGTACTTCGCAGCTAGAGATGTTGAATTCGGACGTTTTGACACTTATTGCTGACGTAGGGAGAAGAGTTTTTCCGGCTTTACAGGCGGGATCACTGCCTTGTTGGTGGCTTTTATGAAGCCGACACCACTGGCAACGGCGTCTTTGTTTCCGGGAGTTCCACTTCGAGTACGCTCTTGTCAAGCGCTTATCTTCTTTGTCGTCCACCTTACAAGCTTGTGTCTTCTTGTTACAGTTCTACCCGCTCATAGCTTGCGTTGTGTTCTCACTTTGTACGCTGGCGGGGATGATGTTCACAGCTGTGTCAGCTGTCAGCTCGATTCTTGTGAGTGCTGGGCCATTTTCTGTGCTCGGAGGCTACTTCGGGTGGTACTACCTTCGTTTTCTCAACAAGAACCGGGACCGGACTGTGGGCGATGTGTCGAACGAGTTCGCGCTGGTGATCTTACTTCCGGACGTCTGCACGTACGTACAGCTGTGCAGGTAATCCTTCCTCGTTGCTTCGATGTCTGATCGAAATTTTGTACATTGATAGGCCACTCGTCGGTCCTCTCGCGAACTTCTGCTTTAACGTAGTCAAGCTTTGTGGATTCTTCAAGACGCGCGCAGCTCAGAGACCAACAATGCTGCCGATTCTTACAGTAAGTGGTGGTTAGCTCTGGCGTACATGTGTGTGCTTGTCATTCCATTGCTGAGTTGTGTTTGCGTCTGTGAATGAACAGGAAATCAAGAACGACCCGATCGCTGAACGTCGAAAGTGGGTACACTGTATCTGAGTGGTGATAATGCTTTGTGATACCTTGTGGCATTCTAAGTGCCCCCACACTATTATTTTTCTGCAGGGCACGTGCGATGAGGGCTCTGGACGAAAAACTGGCGAAACTGGCTTGTGCTGGGCACGACAATGGATCGCCGTCTCTGTTGGCCGTGCAAGTCCACGAAGACGAAGAGTAGTTTGTATGACGGATGATCGGTATCGCAGGAAGATGTCACACGGGCGCGATAGAGTGCTGACAGATCGATCTAAAACGAAGTTGCACGGCGGAAGTCGTAATTGACTTTTGATGTGCCAAATGTTACTCGAATACCGTCGTATCAAGGTGCAGCCTTGGAAGGTGCAGAAGAAACGCAATCTTTGGATTTGGTGGTGCTGCAGTCCAGAAGCGTGCCTCTGGAAAAGCTACCATATGCCCGTGGTCGCCTTCGTAGCCGCATATGCTGGCAGCAGGAACATGAGGTTGCAAGAAGCTAAAGACGCATTGGGGTGAGTGTGCACTTACACTGCGCAAAATTGACGCGTATCTGCGACGACGTTGCATCGAACGTTTGCTGCTGTACCTGCACTGGTGCCCGGGCCACCTTCGGAAGTGAACACCCTACGTCGAGACTGTGGAAGAAGCACGGTGAATGGCCTCTATCTAAACGGTTCTACATCGACAATGCACCGGGAGATGCTTGCATACGCCCCATGCACTCCTCGTTTCCACTTGTCACACTACGACAAACAATCTCCAGCTCCAAATAGACATCGACACACCGTCCAAGCAGCACCTGTATCCTAACACAGCCACATACGTACATACAAACGTACACACACGCTGTCGCAGCTTGAAGTCCTCACTCTCGCATAAAGTCCGACGGCAATGGATACATTCGACCCTATATGGATACAATCAGCCACATATGGATACATTATGTATTCTACCTCATTCAAACATGGCCGTCTCGCGTGACTTGCACTCAGTATTCAGTCCGTCCACCGGAACAACGTGCCATTAGGAGTCGCCACTGCCGTCACAAACGCACTACGCACGGCCCAAGACTCAAGAAGCGGCTCCTCAGCAGCAACCGCTAGTGACTGCGCCGCCATCCATGACCGTCTATAGCTGGGGCCGTGGCGAGGACGGTCAGCTGGGGTTGGGGGACACGAGTGACCAGCACCGCCCCGTCCTTATCGAAGCGCTGGCCGAGCGTCGCATCGTACAGATCGCGTGTGGGAGCGGCCATACCGTCGTGCTCACGGGTAAAAAGCCAAGCAGTCACTCACGAATCGACTGCTTTTCACTATGGTGCAAGTCGGTTAATCAACCCATGACTAACTAACCTCTGTTCTTGTCTTTCTTCTCGTCTGATTATCTGGTTCCTGGTGCAGAGGAAGGTGAAGTGTATACGTGGGGACGGGGAGACGACGGCCGGCTCGGCCATGGAGACAACGGCTGGAAGTTTGTCCCTCGACTCGTGGAGGAGTTACGGGGCAAGAACGTCCGTCAAGTCACGTGTGGGAGCTACCACACCGCAGCGGTCACAGTCTCGGGGGATCTCTATACGTGGGGCGGTGGCATGTATGGCAAATTGGGTCATGGCAACGAGACGGGGCACTCGACTCCGTTTCTGGTCGAGACTCTCAAGAGTATGCAGGTCCGGCAAGTGGCGTGTGGCAGTCGTCATACGGTCGTGCTGCTTGAGAACAAAGACGTGTATACGTGGGGGGACAAGGAGAATGGGGTATCGGGGCATGGCGATACAGAAGGCCACCAGTACCTTCCTTGTCCAGTAGAAGAGCTGCGTGGCAAGTCGATTGTCCAGATCTCTGCTTGCGGCTTTCATACCGCGGCGTTAAGTGAATCTGGAGAGGTGTTTACCTTTGGAGAAGGCAAGTTCGGACGGCTGGGACACAACTCGGAAAGGAACCAACCCGTTGCGCGGTTTGTGGACGCTCTATCAGGGAAACGTGTGAAGCAGGTGGCTTGTGGCGGGTTTCATACTGCAGCAGTTACAGAAATTGGAGAGGTATATACGTGGGGAGGTGGTGAACATGGCCAACTCGGACACGGTGACAAGGTGAACAAAACAGCCCCTACACGAGTGGAAAGCCTTGTGGATAAGCTGGTTGTGCAGATCACGTGTGGATGGAGTCATACAGTCGCGCTTACGGATACAGGCGAGGTTTACACGTGGGGAAATGGAGATCACGGAAAGCTTGGTCATAACGACACGACCAAGGTTACGTTGCCGCGATTAGTGGACATCTTGGATGGGAAACGCGTGGTCAGTGTGGCATCGTACAACGAGCATACTGTCGCCCTTGTAGACCCCGTAGCGATGCTGCGTGCCTCCATGCTGACGTCTTCGTACGTCGGGGACATGCGCCAGCTCGTCGATAGCGCCGAGTTCTCAGACGTCACTTTCCTCATCGAAGGACGCGCAGTTCATTCCCATCGTGCCATTTTGGCCGCTCGCAGTGACCACTTCCGCGCGATGTTTTCTTCAGGTATGCGCGAGTCGCATGAGCAAGAGATTCCTTTGATGCACACTCGAGTGCCGGTGTTTCTCGCGTTACTGGAGTATATTTATGTGGACACGATCAATGTGGGGGCAGAGATGGCGCTCGAGCTGTATGCCGCCGCCGATCTGTACACACTGGATCGTCTGAAGGGGCTATGCGAGATCATCGTGCAGAAGAGCATCAGCGTCGACAATGCTGCTGCGCTATTCCAGTCCGCGGACGATCTGCACTCTTATCGACTGCGTGAGATCTGCTTGTCGTACATGGTGCAGAATTTCGACATGGTCACCAAATCCGACGGCTTTGCTGGTCTTTCGCGTGACTTAATTCTGGAAGTGTTGCAGAATCGGTAAATTAGCTAGCCGGTGTCAAAGTCCAAGCGACCCGAAATTTGGCTTTGTGCATGTTCTCCGCGCGAGCTACTTCAGAGAAGAGATTCCTCGTTGTGTGTGCGAAAAAACTATCATTATTAAAACTGCTTAGGCGACGTCGGATTCATCTTGGCCTGTGATTTTTTGGAAATTCCAGTCGTGGACTTCGATACGCTTGCCCACATCTTCGAGATTCTTTGTCATGACTTCCAGCCAAAATTCAGCCAGCCGGAGGTCCGCTTCGACCGACAGGTACTTGATCCGAGCACGGTTGTAATCACTGTTACTCTTAAGGTACGCGCGGTGGGCTTCACGCCTCTTTGCCACAATAGGATTCACAGCAGGAGAGAAAGTGTGCGAAGTGTCGTTGACACATGTCAACGTCATGGGCGACGACGCACTGCTATGGCCACCGCGTGGAGAGGAAGCGATTGCTCGATCCGGAGTAGCGACGGACTTCGCTAGCACTTCATGCTGTGCTGGCGAGGGCGTAGGTGCAGCGGCATCTTGTCGGACTGAATGGTGACTGGGCGCATGGTGAGTCGTTGTACCATGAGAAGCACCACGAATAGAGCTATCTCTGCGATCATCATTTTCAACGATAGGAGAACCATGCTTGTCGGAGCTTCCGTTCTCCTCACTTGACTCCTTCCCCTGTTGCTCGACCTCAGTCGGATTCGCAGCTTTCATCAGCGGCGGCGTGCCCCCTGGCACGGACAAAACAGTCGACATGTGCTCAGCCGCCAGCACATCGGTGACCTGTCGGTCGTTACTGCGACTGCGGCCTCGTGGTGATGAGCTTGACCTGGAACTTGCTCCATGACTTCGACGCCTAAGGGAAACGGACTGTGACCGACTTCGACCGCGCTGCGAAGTACTGCGACTACGCCGATGTTCACTCGAGATGCGGTAGCGAGGGCTAGGACTGCGTCGATGTGAGCTGCCGGTACGGTGTTGGCTATTCTGTCGACGTTGACTACCGGGACTGCTTCGACAAGGACCATATCGTTGTTGACTCGGACTGCGACGGCGTTCAAAACTAGCACATCGTTGTCGACTGTCACCGCCGTCTCTTGAGCTTGCACTGCGACGACGACGGCCGTGTTTCCTGGAGCTCTGATAACGGCGACTAGGACTGCGCCGTTGTTGACTGGGACTTCTGGTCCAACTTCGGTCACGTGATGTTTCCTCGTGTCTGCGTCGTGTCTCAGAACTGCGTCGATGGCTTGACGAGGTCCGACGGTCCCCGTCCCGATCACGACTTGCGGCGTGGCCATGGATGCTACGACTCCGGCTTCTTCGACTGGTGCCTCGAGCTCTGCTATGTCCAGTATCCTCCCTCTTCCTTCCTCGGTACGTGCCTCGAGGCGGAAGTTGCTGGGGACTGACGCTGTGGTCGCGTCCGGAGCGCTCATTGGTCCGTTTCGGTCCATAGCGTGACAGGCGATTGACGACGCTGCGGCTTCTGCTGCGACTGAAACTGCGACTGAAACTGCGACTGCTCCGTCTGCGTCCGCTCTTGGAGTTGACGTGATGGTGGGGTGGCGAGTAGCTCTCGCTGCGTGACGAGTGGCGGCGGCGACGGCGGTCCATGACGACGAGCTCAGGAAGGAGTGGCGAATTGGTCGCGAAGGTGTCGATTTCGTACTTAGTGTTGGTAGCAAGGCGAAAAGGAGGTCACGATGGTGTACCATGTTGGTGGTACGGTTCGACATGGATACGCTTGTGGTGGCACGATGAACAAGTGGTCTCTCAATCATGTTGAGAGGTTAGTCGAGATGGCTACAGTAGCCATATCTACGGGTCTGTAGAGTCCGGTCGACTAGATGGCAGGCAGAACTTGTTATGATCGAGGCTCATTTAATACAGAGGTGATGACCAAGTAGCAACGAAATGTGCTTGTATCGACGAGTCCAGTTGGTCAAATTGGAGCTGGATCGCGCACAGAACGTCATGCAGAACGTACGCCTGGTGGTCGTGTAAATAGGTCATAGGAAACCTTGTCGAATTACATACTGAGTGCAAAACTCCTGCCGTGAGCAACCACGCTTGACTAGTCGTAACTTGCCTGTGTACCGCCTCTCCACTTCTTCATCTTGCACATCCGTCGGCTGGTGTCAATCTATCAATCTGCGGCTAATGGAAGAGCTGGGACACCGACTTCTTGCCATGGATATTCTGAATGGCTTGCGCCAGCAGCGGAGCAATGTCCAGCTGGACGATCTTTTCGTTGCCCTCGCAGCTCTTCGGCAGCGGCGTCGTGTTGACAACCACAACCTCCTTGAGCGCCGAAGCCTTGATGCGATCACTGGCAGCGCCGTTGAACAGACCGTGCGAGGCAAACGCGTACACGTTGCGAGCACCGTGATCAACCAAGTGCTGCGCGGCTTTACACAACGTGCCAGCTGTGTCAATCATGTCATCGACGATAATGCAATCCGAGCCCTTGACCTGACCCACAAGGTCCATGCGGTCGATCTCGCCGGCCTTGATGCGCTGCTTAATGATCATGGCCAGTCCCGTGTTCGGCAGCCCGTGCTTTCCCACAAGCCACTCCCGGAACTTCTTGGCACGTGCGACACCACCAGCATCAGGGGACACTACAACTGGATTCACCAGCTCGTGGTTGCCAAAGTACGAGACGCCAACGAGACCTCCGTCCAAATTGTCCACAGGCACGTGCGGACCAAAGAAGCCCTGGATCTGGCCACAGTGCAAGTCCACCGCAATCACACGGTCGACGCCCATAGCTTCCAAGAGCCGGGCCACATCAGCAGCCGAAATCGGCACACGCGCTGCCATCTTGCGGTCTTGTCGTGCATAGCCATAGTACGGGATCACAGCTGTGATCCGACGTGCCGACGAGCGCCGCATGGTACTGACCATGAGCAGCAGCTCCATGAGGTTCTCGTTCACAGGCACGCACGTGGGCTGCACAATGTACACGTCTTTGCCCCGCACGTTCTCGTGCACCATGAGGTTCACTTCGCCATCGGCAAAGCGCTCGACCGTGATCTTGCCCAGCTGCACCCCCACGAGCTCCGCCACGTTGGCAGCCAGCTCGTGGTTGGCGTTGCCACTGAAGATCTTGAGTCCATTGATCTTGGGCTGCTTGGCAACCGGCGTGGCTCGTGGAAACGCGTCTTCGGTTTGAGCAGCAGCTGCTGCTACCGACTGCTGTTGTTGCTGCTGCTGAGCGCCTAGAAAAGCGCCAGCAGCTACGAAGCCAGTGGCAAGGGCAGCGGACGACAGTCGACCGTGACGGGCAACGAGGTGACGGAACATACGTGCGGGTCAATTGGAACTGGAAGAAGGAGCAGAGCGAGGGACTTGCGCCAATGCCAGCGCCAGCGCTTGGACTCGAGTTGATACAGTCGATGGACAAGGCCGTATTGGATCGACAGATGGATACACTCACTGGTCGATAGATGGCTGGCTGGCCGCTGCGGGTCGACTGTCTGATTGTGGACGTAATGATGTGGTGGACGTAATGATGTGGTGGACGTAATGGTGTGGTGCACGCATGTTTGGGTCGCTGCACTTCAATCGGACACAAAATAAGACTTGTGGCTTGTACCGCAAAATGGGGCAGTCGTTCCGATACGCTCGCCCACCTCCGTCGACTCACTTTAGTAACAATGACGACGACGACGACGACGACGACTCGCGTGTTGCTCATTGACAACTACGATTCGTTCACGTACAACATTTACCAGGCACGTCTTCCCGTACCCATACGTTCCACGTTTCTTATTCACTTGACACGAAACCGTAACACTCTGTCGTCCCTTTGTATCGAAAAATAACCCCGTCTCGGCTCGTCTGTCTGTCAATGATGTATCGATCGATGTAACGATGTATCCATGTATCCACCTGTCTCACGCGCGTGCATCACTCTAGTACATGACGCAACTCGGCGCGTCCGTTGAAGTGAAACGCAATGACCAGATCACGATCGACGAGATCCACGAGATGCAGCCGGACCGCATCATGATCTCGCCGGGTCCAGGCTACCCCGTCTCTGCTGGAGTGTCGTGTGACGTCATCCGCTCTTTTGCCGGCAAGGTCCCCATTGCTGGCGTGTGTCTCGGCCACCAGTGCATGTTTGAGGTTTTTGGCGGCAAAGTGGATCACGCTGGCGAGATCGTGCACGGCAAAGCGTCTGTGATCGCACACGACGGCAAGGGACTGTTCCAGGGCATGACGCCCGAGTTCAAAGCCATTCGCTACCACTCGCTCGTGGGACTGCCCGAGACGTTGCCGGACGTGCTCGAGGTCACGGCCACGGTGAAAGGCACGAACATGATCATGGGCGTGCGGCACAAGGAGTTCAAGGTCGAGGGCTGGCAGTTTCACCCCGAGAGTATTCTGACGGAAGACGGGCTCAAGCTTATTCAGAACTTCCTCGAGATGTAAAGCGAGTAACTCGATCGGTAGGCAGAGACCGACTCCCGTTTGCACATGACATACTACAGTGGACGAGCACATGTCTTGCGTTTACTGCTACTGCTGCTGCTGGTTCTTCTTCTTCTTCTTCGCGTCTTTTGTCAAGCGTCGAAATGTGCTCTTTTGTTGCTAGGTTAGGCACTGACTCGGGCTAGTTCAGCAGAAGGCGTGGCAAGTAAGAAAGCAGAGGAAGTGCCGATGGCAAAACACGATTGACGAAGCTGCTTCTCTCGACCATGAGCATGAGCCGATTCGTTCAGCGCACTGGTCCCGAGTCGCTATAGACTCGGAAGTCGGTTATGCTTTTTGCACGATTTGCAACAGCACGACTAGTCCTCCGAGAAGGTAAACGCCAAATCTTTTTCGGAATCGGAGGCCGATGCTGTCGGTAGAAACTACATATGAGCACAAGGAAGTGAGTTCTCTTGTTTCGCTGTCTCTACTGCCAAAACGCCAAACACGCACCTGCAACTGATCGATCGACGGTTGGTTCTCCAGGGTCCAAGACAGGAACTTCTGGAATTGGTGTGGAGTCATTGTATTTCGAGATTGATGCAGGATGGTCTACGGTGCAAGCCACCATCATGTCAGCTAAGCACCACATGAAGAGAGAGCACTATCCGCACAGCGAAAGAAGAAGACGCACCTCAATGCCAGGGACATAAAGCCAGTCGTGAGCTTGCAGTGCAGAGAAGCACTTGAGAATTGCGTCCAGCTTCCGTGCTTCTTCACCAGCAGGGATTGCCAAGCTCGCAATTCGCTGACATTGCGTATCAGTGAGACCCAGTTGCGTTCTCAACGACAAGAACAACTCCGATCTTTTCGACGCTACTGCAATCAACGCTTGATTCTCTGCATTGGCACGACGGACCTGAGTGCAGCGTACAATCGTCAGTTTCACGGTTCACTCATGCTAATCAATCCCATCCATCTTGCAATCTTCAAACATCATACAGCGTCCGTATTTTTCGAGTGTTGTCCAAGGATGCGTGCCATCAGCTCCATCTTGGCATCTTTGGACAGCAGTGCATTACGCAGGTGTTCTCCCGAGCCATACTCTGCTTGCAGCACAAACCAAACTACCCATTACTCCACTCCAGCACGATATTGTGTACCACATGCATCCACATACATACCCAAAGCTGTTGCCAGTTCTCGAGCATCCCCAGTACCAAACTCGTGCTTCTTGAGTATGTTCAGAGCAGTCTCGAGCTTCGACACCTCTCCTTCGTACGTCTCCACCATGCCCTTTTTCTTCTCCCGTCGCACTCGTGCTGACGCGCGATTGCGCTCCAGACGTCGCTGTCTCCGATCATCTTCTTCTTGCAGCTTCTGGTAGATGGACAGCAAGTCGGGCGTGCGCATGATCTGCTTGATATCTTCCGAGCCCATGAGCGACGGGTCCGTGCCACTTACACGCGCTAGAAGCGCCGTATCCATCGACAACCCTCCCGTACTGGCTGCAAATTGAGCTGCCGAGATCTGAGCCACTGACGCAGCAGCCTGTCGACCTGCTACCGTCATCGATGTGCCTGTCGTAGCTAGTGGCCTCATCGCCTGGTCCTGTTCAGTCTGCATCTGGAACCCCGCACCGTCTCGAAACGTCATGCTGCGCATGCCTTCGGACGGACTGGGCTGCAATCGGCTTAAGTGCGGATCATTCCACGCAGCTGTATCGGTCGAACGAGCGCTCGTGCTCCTCCTGTGAATACCAGGGCGGGAATTCCATTGACGTGGCGAGGCATCGGCGTCAGGCTCGGCCAGCGACTGGTTCAATCTCTTGTAGCTGTAGAGAGAAGCTCCAGAGATGCTCTGCGAGGACGACGCTGGCGTGTACGAAGGTAGGGACGAGGGCAGGTCACTATCGCCACGGCCGTCATCAACGTCGCTTGGCTGCTGCTGCTGCTGCATTGGGGTTGTGACGCTGATGTCACTACCGAGAGGGTTTCGATGACGCCAACGACGTGGCGGATTTTTCAATACTGTTTTACCGGTTTATGCTCCATCCGTCCCGTTCACGATACCGGTTTTGCGTTTTGGCGACCTCGGATCGACATGGGCATCAACGGCTTCTTGCGGCAGCTCCACGACGTTGTGGACACGACGCATCTACAGCGATTTGCAGGGCAGACGCTGGCGGTGGACGCGCTATCTTTTCTGCACAAGGCGTACGTTGTATTGGCGCTATCAATCATATCTCTCTCTCTTCTCTGCAGGTCCCGACTCATTAGCACTGTATTGCACTTGTCTTGCAGCTGTTATGGCTGCGCATTTGAGCTCTCGACGGGCAAAGAGACGGAAGCTTACGTCCATTATATGTTGCGTAAGGTTCATATGATGCGGAGCTATGGCGTGGCCGAGGTCATTCTCGTGTTTGACGGACAGCGACTGCCACTGAAGGTACCGAGAGATTGTGGACACTCTGATCCATTCACTGGTAGGAAGAGCTCTTGGGGTTCACTTTGGCTGTTGTTCTTGTTGTTTCCTTTTCTAGTCTTTGACGCATGAGAAGAGAAAGAGGTACAAGGAAGAAAACCGAAGACGAGCTCTGGAGGCCATGGCCGACTCGAAGAAATTGCAAGGAACGGATCGCTCAGACAAAGTCAACAAAGCTTACCAGCTCTTCCAGAGAGTGCGTCGCATAGTCGTGTACTACTGTTTGGTCGTGCTAGGACAATCGGTATTGACTCGATGATGTTGCTTGACTCGCTTGATGGCTGAAAACAGTCGGTCTCCATTACTCCACAGATCATCTCCACTGTAATGAACGCGCTGCGAGCAGCCAGAATCCCATTCGTTGTGGCGCCGTTTGAAGCTGATGCGCAGGTTTAGCTGCTGATTGCATGATCTTGCTGTTGCGGTGTGCGGTACTAAGTGGTTGCGGCTTTTTGCGCAGATGGTGTGGCTTTGCAAGAATGGCTTTGCAGCAGGGATTGTAACGGAAGACTCGGATGTGGTAGTGTACTGCCTCACTGCTGATGTCTCGTGCCCCGTTCTTGTCAAACTGGAAGATAACGGTGCTGCCCAGGTTTGAACGCTAATCGTTTTGTATCCTAGCCGTGTGCTTGGTGGTGTTGATCAATTCGTGTCGTTCGTCCCGGTAGGCCGTGTCGCGGTCCATACTCCACAAGAACTCGGCGAAAGCTACTTGTACGTTGATAATCGACGAGTGTTGCTCATGGTGTCTGCTGCTCACTCATTTATTTGCGTCGATGTCTTACCTCCCCAGCAAACGCCTTACTGAGAAAAATCCATTTTCTTACATCAAGAGATAAAGAAGCCATCCGCATGTTTGTGCAAGTGTGCGTTCTAGCTGGCTGCGACTTCATCGACTCACTTCCGAACGTGGGGTTTGCCGTAAGCATGAAGTCTTGTAGCACCCGCCTTGCTTCGGTTCTTGTCACAATCTAACCTTGCAATACGGTGATACGATGTTAGACGGCAGTCAAACACATCTTCAATTTTCGGGGTGCACCCGCTCACTTGCGCGTCCAGCGGTTGACTAGCAAGCTATTGAGCTCGGGCACAAAGGTCCCTGCTGAATTTCTGCAGGAGTTTGTCAAGGCAGAAACCATTTTCTTCCATCACATCGTCTTCAATCCCGATAAACGCTGCTGTGAGCTCCTCGTCCATGAGAAACACATCAACTGTTTCCCTGACGTTCTGCAGCGTGCGAAAGAGTCGTTGGGCATCGCGTTATCCGACGAGGTCGACCTAATGTCAAGCGTTCGGCGTGGAGATCTGCGTGCAGTGAGTGCCGCAACAAAAGCTTTCTTGGCGAAGTCCTGTCGTCCGAGATCGTCGAGCAGATATACAAGGGCGAACTGTATGCGCGCACCCTCCGCAGTCTTTCCGATAGCCCCGCAAGTTCACGAAAGCAAAGAAGTTTTGCGGCATCTCACTTTGAGACTTCATCCAGCGTGCAGCGCAAACCACTTGGCACATCTGTCGACCAGCCGACGCGGAAGGAGGTTCCACAACTTTCGTCCGTTGCGGTCGCGCAACAGATTGAAAACAAGAAGCGCTTGCAAGCAAACGAGCGTGCTGTGTCATTACATGGTCTAATGAGCGTGTACAAAGCTACGAATGCAGCAGCGGCATCAGCAACAAATGGAGCAGTGACGTTGACAGCATCAACGCAAGCGTTGAATGCGGTGCACCTAAATGGTAGCAAACCCAGCTCCAGTGCTGGTCCATCTGCTCAAGCAATCATCATGTCGGCAGCTTTGTTGGAGGTCAAGTCGTCGAAGGTAACCGCAATGTCAATGAAGGATCTTGTCGCAAAGCACTCCCAATCTGTCCGACCAGCGAAATCTCCTCGTGTCGAAGAAGCACCTGCAAAAGTCGTGACACAAAGCGCACCCGGGTCTCGAAAGAGACCACGACAAGAAGGAGAGCCGGTTGCTAGAGTTGCGATAGCCCGAACACTCGTTCACAAGCCGCCTCTTCCGAACAGCAGCAGAAAGACTCTGTTTGACTTCTTCCAGAAACAAACCTGAACTCCATGATCATCAACGAAACACATTGCATTCACGCACAAACGCTTCGTATTGTTTCCAAGCTGATGGACGAGCTGCACTCATGCCTTCTACATCTGCGCACCCGCAAATCCGTTCTCCACTTCAAGGTGCTCTTTAATGAGCTTTGAGATGCTCTTGAATTCAGGGTTGCTTGCGTCATTTGCCAGCTGGAAGATGGCTGACTCCACGGACGTGATAAAGGCACCGGACTGGCGCATACGCTCTAATGCAATCGAACGGTTGTAGCTCGTAGAGCTAGACACGGCGTCCGAGATTACGTGCACGTCATAGCCGTCGTCCAGCAGATCGAGACACGTCTGGAGCACACACACGTGCGTCTCGATGCCGCAGAGCAGCACCGACTTGCGTTGCGGCATGGTCGTGGTCAGATGCTGCATCACTTGGGGCACGAGCATGGAAAACTGCATCTTGTCGAACGTCTTGACGTCCTGCACGTCCTCGAGGGTCTTGGCGATCTCCGACACGGTGCTGCCCAGTCGGGCGCTGTACTGCGTCGTGACGACGACTGGCAGCTGCAGGAGCTTTGCAGCTGAGATCTGCACACGCAACAGAATTGTCCTTATCGATACGGTGAGTACAGGGGTGACCGATAAGGGCGTAGAAATCCTATTGTGACTGACCGACCATTGTGTTGGTGCCGTGGATGACCGTCGGTTGCTGGAACACGCGGCCACGGAAGACCTCCTGCATGTCGCAGACGAAGAGCACGCTGGACTGCGGTAGGAGGCGCCCTAGACGCGAGGTCAGAGCTGCCATTGTCGTGAGGAAGAGATGGGGAGGCCGGTTGTGATTGGGGATGGGGAGTAGTCGTACGCAGAGGTTGAAGGTGCTGATGGAGTGAGACGGTCGATTGCAGAATGGGTTTTATACCGGTTTTTGCTGATAGAGCAGTGGGTTGAGTGCAGATAGATGGGCCCATTTTGATGAGAATGGTGCGAGAACGATCGAAGGTTTTAACGCGAGAAACAGAAACGAAGGAAGAACACGCGTGGATTTTGCTACGAAAACATCTGTGCACCAAATTTTGATGTAGAAACTGGACCACCATCGACTGACGCAGCGATTACACGCAATGGTTGGGCTCTACAGGCACTTCAGGCGCCACCACTGGAGCGGGTGGCTGAGGCTGGGACTGGGGCGGCTGCGCCACCACTTCAGACGCCACTACTGGAGCAGGTGGCTGAGGCTGGGGCTGGGGCGGCTGCGCCACCACTTCAGACGCCACTACTGGAGCAGGTGGCTGAGGCTGGGGCTGTTGCACCTCCTGGGGGACGGGCTTCTCATCCGGCTTGACCACCTCTGGGACGGGCATCTCTTCCGGCTTCACCCCCGTCTTTGCGCTGTCACCCTTGACGCTGTCGTCCTGAACGTACGCATTGCCCGCATTGCCACTTGGAACTTCCCCTTGCGTCTGGGAATCCTCTGGCGCAACGATCTCGTGCGTGGTGGATTGCGAGCCTGATGTCCCGTCCTCCTGTGTCGCGTCATCCTGTGTCACGTCACCCACGTCATCCTGTGTCACGTCACCCACGTCATCCTGTGTCACGTCACCCACGTCATCCTGTGTCACGTCACCCACGTCATCCTGTGTCACGTCCTCTGACGGGCAGAAAGTTACGACAAGGTCCGTGCCGAATGGGCACGAGTGTGTCTTAGTATCGTCCTGCGGGTAGTTGTAGGCGTCCACGCACGCGTCGGCGAGACACGTGAGTTCGCGACAGTTCTCGCCGTTCGTGTTGGAAAGCGGGGTCACCTGGACGGGCGTGTTGAAGCCAATCCCGCTCTCCGAGTGCAGCTTGCACTCCTCGAGGCTCTTGCAAAACTCGAACCCGGGCTTCATACGCGACGGGATGATGCTAATGTCAAACCAGATCAGGTCGAGGTCGCCCTTCGTGGCAAACTCAACGAGCGTAGCAGCGTCGTTCGTGCCATTGCGGAAGTGACCCTCAAAGCCCTTTTCAATCTGCTTTACCAATGCAGCACCCGAGGCGATGACCACGTGCTCGTCCGTGTAGACACTAGCGAGACGCGTGTAGAAATCGACGTCGACTGAGCACTTGTTCGTGAAGGTCACAGTGGACGTAGCACTGGCCGAGGAGAGCGCGGCTGAGGCAAAGACACCAGTGAGAGCGAGATGACGGACCATAGCTGCTAGATGTACTGAAGAGCGGGTCAGTTGATGAATGACGCTTCCTTTCTTGGGCTCGACGTCTGCCCATCACGCGCTCGCGCTGCTACGACGCCACGATGGGAACGCCACATGGAAATGCGCCAGCACCAGATGACCACATGCGTGTGTGGATCCTGAGCTCCCGGTGCCCTTTTCTTGTCTTCCAAGGTCAGAAGGGGCTGTAAAGAGCCAGACCGATTCAGAAAGCAGGTCCTGGAATCCAGGTGGAAGACTGACGTGTAGTATGGAGGTCTCGCTACGCGCGACTCCGAGTCGCTTCTATACCAAGTTGTGTGTGGGAGTCAGTTCACGATCGATCGCGTTGCGGAAAAAGGGTGCTTCCGAATAATGAAGAACGAGCGTAGCCCTGGCCGAGGCCAACACTTGCGATGTCAACCGTGCGACGATCACGACTGGCGTCCTGAAGTACCACGCACCTGATGTTTTCTCCTACGATGCGACCATTTGCTCGGCTGCTGCCACGCGACGCTCGACAGCAGATAGCTTTTGTAGCTTCTGTCTTCTCTCCTGCTATGCTGAGTGCGCCAAAGTAGGTCTACGGAAGGCAAACGTTGCTGATCATCTGCTCTGAGCGAACTCGCGACACTATTGGTAATCGAGTCGCACATGGGTCAAATCGCTGCCTTGTGCCATTTGAGCTCGTCGTCGTTTGTGTGGCAGATCTGAGGACATTTGAACCAAAGGTGCACACGATTTATGATGACAACAGGTCAAGAGCCAATTGTGCCTGGGGATCAGATTTGGGTCATGAACGTTTATGCGCATGCACCTTTTAATCCTGTATTTTGCACAGCTAATAGCTTTTGGGCTAGTTTTTGTGGATCGGTGCAGCCACTTTTATCCTGTATTTGCGACTAGTGTGGTATGCGAGTTTTAACCACAACATGAAAAATCTTGCATCGACACTTATCCCGCACTTTGTGCAGTGTAAAAAAAAGAACGAGTTCTTAAACCGTGGTTTAAAGAACCGCATCTCCATCATTCCAGACTGTTTCTGATGCAAGTAGTCTCCATTTTATACGATCAGAGCGGCTCCAGCAGCTAGTATAACTTAACTTTTGGTCCAATCAAGGATTAATAGTAGTTGACTCATAAAAGTGCGCTGCAGTAGCAGAAAACTCAGGGGGTCACTCGAAAAATGTTATTTTTCTCATTATCCTGTCTACGTTTTATTGTTCTGGGATACCCGAAAAAACTGTCGAGACTGCTTTTCATTAGTCCAGATATCGTGATAAATCAACTTATCGGCTAAAATTAGTTGGATGTCATCGTTGCAGTTAATGAAGAATAGCGAAACAAGATAGAAGAGCAATGCAACAGAGCTACACCACTCTTCAGTCAAAGGAATGATTTTGTTTACAGCCACTTAGATCTAGGCTCTGAATACAATAAGTGTGCGAGTCTTCCCGTTTTAAAGAGCTGGACTAGACTCCATAGTCAATTAAGCTATTTGTAACGGGGTTCCACGCGGTTATCGAACCGGTTATGTTGTGTGTCCACACCAGATAAAGATCGGTGGATCCGAGTGGTACAGTCTTGGTCCCGCGTACTTACGGTAACAACGCACCTTATCAGGTAAGGATGAGGGATAAGAATTCTGTCATATGATCGCAATGTAGAAGTCAGTCAGACAAGATTTCAGGGTTTCATCACCATAGTCAAAGAATAAATAAATTTAGTCCCCCGTTTAAACAGTTGGACGCTAGTTCCTGGTCAAAGCATAGCGTGTTGTAAGAGTGTTAGCCTTTTGAGGCACTTACTCTTGCTTAACTAGTAGTATCTAGTTAGTTTGTGATTATGTAAATCGTAATCCCTTTGGAACCGGGATTGTCAAGCTTGTACGCTTGAAAGACTGTAAGTCGCTGTTAGTTTCTTATAACTAAGAGACAAATTGAGTCGAAGACTTCCTCTGTTAAGAAGCGCTGAGTAGCTCCGCTACACTAATCGTTATATTGTTGTTACACCGAATACTTTGATGAGTGACACGTCAGTCAGCTGTCAAATTATGACATGCTTGGTACTTACGATATTAGTTCTAGAATCGAAGCTGATAAGATACGATATTACCTGCAATAGGGTGAGCCTGTTACATGGAATTACCCTTTGACACTTGTTAACTAGAATATTGTCATAAAGGATGATAAGGTTCACGAATGTTGCCATAAGGGGCAATATTCAGAAACACTCACCAGTCGACTGATATGGGTCCTCATATCATCCAGCTCCAGCGGTCCAATCAACGATGGATGCGCGCAGAGTAGCGAGCAAGACTTTGGCTTACATTTTGTAAATAAACATGACTGAGCTAAGGCTAAAACATAAGTTAGTGATTAGGAAAAGATTACATTTAATACAGTTTTTCCTTTTATCATCAACTAGTCAGTTTCCTAGTTGCTTTCCCTTTCTCTGCGTAGTTTTCAGAGATAGCGAGGCACCACTCACACCGCTGTCGACGAGAGTAGCTCCACACTGGTTGTCCAGTGTGTTGCTCTGGCGCCCCGTTACACCTTGTGGCACTTTTCGTTCGTTCAAGGACACAAACCCATTTAACATGGACATGTTGGACGATGAAGGCGACGACGCCTTTCATCGCACCCGTAAAGCTAATCTATCTGTGTGGTGTCGAATGGAGTGTGATCAAACGAATTAGTTCGACCGTTGGTGAAGAAGCTGTCTGGACTCTGCTATACTCAAGGGATAGTGTAACGGGGCACCCTGAAGCTTGTACTGGTGACAGTACAAGCTACTTATTCTGATGACAGAATAAGGCGGTGCCTCGGAACTTCACGTACACTCGTACGTGCAGAGGAAGACGGTAAGAAGAAGCGAGTACTTGGTTAAAGTAAAAAGTAGAACTGTATTTATCATAGTTAATGTCTGCAATAAATCACTATTTATCTTCATCTAACTATGTCTAAATACAAATATGTAAATCAGTTATCTGCTCACCACTCATTGCATGCGTCTGTCGTGGCGCGTCTTCGTTGGTTCATATAATGGCCTATATCAACCAATTAGGAACTGCTTGTAAGTGCTACAGAATATTTATCCTTATGACAATATTCTGAGAATATGACTCTTATAGTTATATTATATGAACAATTTCTCATAAATTGTTATGTAACGATTCACCCCGTTACATCACCCCCCCTTAACCATCAGTCACTTTAGTGACTGATTGACTAAATGGATACTCGTCCCAAATCATTTGGGACAGGGTTTGCACTTGTTGGTCCGCGTCCACTTTCCAACATCTCATCGCATGGTAAACAAGCCCATGCGATGCGCGAGCAAGGCCACCGAGAGCGCGTCCGCACGTCTCTGTGCGGACGCCTAAGCAGAAACAACAGCAACTGATGTCTCATCGGTTGCTGAAGCGACTCAGCCTGTGTCACTTGGTGATGCAGGCGCTGGTCATGAAGACACTCGTGTCATCACAGAGTACGAGCTCGGTGTCTCGTACTCTCCTGATACGGATGACGGATCCGTATCGACGGCGATTGAATCTAAGCCGCCTGCCAAGCGTGGCATGGATGATGCTATGCGTCGCAGCATCTTCGGTTCATCTGACGAATCAGATGAACCATCGCCGAAGCGAAGGCGCTCGAGGTCGCGAGTCTCGGGCGCTAATAGTGGTGTCGGTTCTCCTATGGACACCACTTCACAGCGAGGTGCCAGTACTTCTGTCGGCACGTCGCAGGAAGAGCGGGACCGCAATGTCTTGCGTCTCGCTCCAGATAAGACGGCATGGATGCCTCCTAAATCCGTCATGGATCACTTGTCGGCGACGACGAGTGATCGTTATCGAACACGGTTGTTCGATTCGTCAAGGATCCATCACCTTGACCCCAGCGCGAAAAACTATCGCGCTGATAATGAATTCTTCATCGATGCTTTCTTTAGACATCGATGGTACAGTGGGAATCACAAGCGTGATGGTCCCTCACTACTTCAAGCGTGGAACGCCTACATCCATAACCTTGAGGGTGTAGGTCGTGACGTTTGGAACGACAAACTTATCAAAGCTCGTGATAAGTTTGAAAAGCGAACCCCGACAGGTGCACGCTACAAGCTGCATCGTCTGTCAAGGGAGAAGGGATTACCCTGCCTCTCTTGGGGAGACTCGCGCCCATGTTGTGTGAACAACTCTGCACGAGCACCTAAGGAGGCTTACCTCCTTACTAGCCCGTGGTGGCGCGTACGTGTCTCTACTGAGATGTACGAAGGGATTGAGAACCTGAAATCCCTTTACGACCGTGCCGGGAAGACTTTCTCCGGCGGTCCTTCTGCGGCACAGGATGTGCCGCGTCGTACTGCTCGACCAGACCCAGTACGTCGATCATTAGTTGGGAGCGGGGCTCCCAAGAATCCCAGGACGGGGGATAGCCGCGCCACCGGACGAGATAACTCGTCCGACGTCCGTTCACGTCGCGGTGTTTCAACAGCTGCTCAACTAGATAGCGCTGGCCACCGCGAGAGTCCTCTAAGGGATGTGGAGGAGGAGGAAAGACGCTCTCCACACGATCATGTGGATCGGTGTGTTCCCGAGAGCTTCTTTGATCGCGTAACGCAAGGGTTACGCGACGATCTCGAACATGAGCGGAATAGGCGTCTCCAAATGGCGGACACTGCCTCGAAGCATCGAGCTGAGTTTGCCTTTGCTCAGCTTGAGAACGAGATATCTCTGACATCTCTTCGTGACGAGCTAAGGGTAGCTCGTGGGATTGCTGATCGGTCTCGGGATGAGATAGCTGCTCTTCAGACCCTTGTTGATGCCCACCATCGGGAGCACAAGGCTCTCTGCGAGATACTTGAGCGCAAGGGCGTTCTTCATCGGAAGAAGCAGCGTACTGATGGTACGGCTTAAGCCGACCAACGTAAAACGTGGGATGCGTTCGCATCTTACGTGGTAACTCGATCGTGTATGCATTGCCTAGGCGGTGCAATACACGAAATGGGCCGGTGTACTTGGGTAGTAGTTTACTGCTACCCAAGTTAGTCACTACATGCTTTGGTAGATTAACCGTAGACAGTAGGACTAAGTCAACTTTATAAATAAAAGAGTGTTTGCCCTTTCATTCTCAGCGTTTTGCTTTTGCTTATCCACCGCTTCGGCGATGGAGTCTTGCACAAAACGGACAACCGTTTCACGAGCCAGTATGAACTCATCTGATACTCGTTAGCTTCAGTGCGCTGTGAGCGCACTGCAGCAACATCAACCTTTTCTTCAGTGAGGGCTTCCGCACTCTCACTGGGATCATTGTCTTCAGTGAGGGCTTCCGCACTCTCACTGGCATCATCTTCTTCGATATCGATGTTATCGATATCGGCATCAAACGCAATGACTTCTTCGTTAGAGCGTGATGAGCGTGAACCAATTCGGTTTTTGCTCGCGCGAGTCCCTCCCCCCCTTAAACCATAGTCACACTCTAGTAAGGTGGGTACACGCGGATGGCGCAAGCCATTCACGTAAAACGGTGTATGTGTCGTGGACGCATGCACCGAGTTGTTGATGGCAAACTCTACCATTGGCAAGAACTCACTCCAACTCTTAAAGGAGTGTACGTATCCTCGAAGTATCTCTTCAAGGACACGATTGGCACGTTCCGTCTGACCATCTGACTCTGGATGATCAGATGTCGACATCTTCAAGCGCGTTCCGAGTGATTTGAACACGGAACGCCAGAAATCAGCAGTGATTCGTGGATCTCTGTCTGATACGAGTTCACGGGGCAACCCATGAAGTCGGAAGATGGTGTCGATAAAGACACAAGCACAGCCACTTGCCGTGATTGTCTCTGGTACAGCCACAAGGTGTACCATTTTGCTGAATCTGTCAACAAATACGAGAATACCCGTATTCTCGCGTGCGTCTTTGGGTAACCCGAAGACGAAATCCATTGAGATGGATTCCCAGCACTCAGCCGGAACCGGTAGAGGCTGTAAAGGTGCACGCAGTAAAGGACTTGACTTCACTCGTTGACAGACTTCGCATGCGCGAACATACTTTCGCACAAACTGATACTGGCGGGGCCAGTAAAAGTCTCGACTTACCGTGAGATGTGTTTTCTCTCGGCCACGATGTCCTCCTATAGGAGCATCGTGATACTCGAACATGATCCGCAAACGCAGATCAGTATCATCTGGAATGACAACACGTGGTGTGTCACCAGAAACGGCTGTATAGTACAGTAAACCGTTACGAGTAGTGTATCGATCTGATGCAGATCGATACGCGGACGACAATCGTTTCAACGATTCTCGAGATGGTTGGGAGAGATGTGACAACAACTTCACTATCTCACCATCTTGGGCGTATGCCCACCTCACATCATCATATAACATTGTAGATGGAACTGAGGACGTCATTACCGCAACAGTGACTGTCTCACTGTTGGGTTTCGCGACTGTTTCAAAGTCGGGACGACGTGAGAGTGCATCAGCGACGACATTAAGTGGTCATGGTTTGTACTCGACCGTAAAGTTGCATTCTGCAACGAATGACAACCACCGCGCCATTCGTTGTGAAAGGTGCGGGCTGTTCACTGCCGTGCGTAATGACGCATGGTCAGTGTAAACAATGAAGGGTCTATCTCCTAATAGATAGACTCTGGACTTCGCGAGTGCATACTTCATGGCAAGGAGTTCCTTGTCATGCACTGGATAGTTCCGCTCAGCTGGTTGCAGCTGACGCGGCTGATAGCAGACGACGCGTTCAACGCCTTCAAGATCGTACAGAATTAATGCACAGCTGATTGCGAAATCGCTGGCATCACAGACCACATGAAATGGCCTGTCCTGATCTGCTATTGCTAGGACTGGGGATTGTATCAAGCTCTGCTTGATACCATCAAAGGAGCGCTGACATTCAGCGTTCCATAACCACCTCTCGTTCTTTTTCAACAAACGAGAGAGGTACACAGTCATCTCGGCGTAATTGCGTGAATACTTGTGCAAATACGCCGCTAGCCCAAGGAATTTTCGAAGACCTTTGACATCAACTGGCACAGGCCAGTCGGTGATCGCCTTGATCTTTTCGGGATCAGGACGTACACCGTTCTTACCAACGATGCACCCAAGAAGTGGTATTTCGCTTGCTGCAAATATACACTTCTTGAGGTTTGCATACAATTGATGCTTTCGCATGATTGTAAGAACCTGTTGGACGTGGTACCTGTGAACCTCAACGTCCGACTTTCCGTCCATAGCTCGACTATGGATGAATACGTCATCGAAATAACTCGGCGCGAATTCTCGTACTGGTCTCAACAGATGTGATACACATCTGTTGAACGTGGCAGGGGCATTACTGAGCCCTTGTGGCATTACTAGCCATTCCCAGAGCATGCCGCTAGGCGTGCTAACTGCGGTATAGGGTGTATCCCGTTCCCGCATAAGGCTTTGATAGAAGCCATCCATCAAATCCATGGACGAAAAGGTGGTACTCTTTGACATACCATCATTGATTACGTCCTTCCTCGGTATCGGCGTCTGAGCCGGTACCGTTGCAGCGTTCAATTTGTTAAACGCGTGCACTATCCGCCACCCTCCTGTTGCTTTTCGCACACAGAAGGTCGGAGAGCTATGTGGGGATGTTGATTCCCTCACACGGCCCGCAGCTAAACGATCGGCAAAGAACTTGTCGATCGCAAGTACTTGTTCACGAGGCAGTGGCCACTGCTTCATGACACAGTACTTCTAGCCTGGTTTAAGCTCGACCTCGTGTCGAATACCTTTATCCTTCGGTAATTCGCACGGAACTGTTTCAGGGAATACATCCTTGAATTCAACCAAATCTTCACATAGAGAGGATTTTTCTTGAGCGATTCCCATGATTGGAAGTCATATCGCTCAATTCGTGTCTCTTCATCCAGGATACTCTCGTCCATAGATGAACTACTGAGAACTCTCTCGTTCTCAGTGAACACTGTTGCTGACCTTATGTCGGTTACACACTCGTCGTCAGCGACGAGTATGCAGATCTGCTTGACTTTGCCACTACGCAGATCACGCAAGAACCTTTTATGTTCGAGCGTTGGCAACTGAGTGATCTCCGAAGTCAACTTCGGAGGCGCAATCAGATCAAGTGTATAAGCGCCTACAATTGATCCGTTATTGACTAGGACATTTAATGTCTCTGTCATTTCCTGGGGACTTATTCCCTCAGGCTTCGAAGGACTAATTCCTTCGGCTTCCCGGGGACTTATTCCCGCGGGTTTCGGGGAACTTATTTCCGCCGTATTTGTAATCTTGGGACTTATTCCCTTTACTTCCTCTCGCTGGGGTTGCGCAACCACAGCGAGATCCTCTACGAAAGACTCTCCAGTCGATCTAGGATTATCATTTTGCTTAACCTGAGCGATCGATTGTTTCTCTTCTAGATGTTCCCCGCTGGGGATACATCTTTGTCCCGGTCCACTCGACTTATTCGAGTGGTGGACCTTTGGCGCAGCCTGTGCTTCCACACAGCCGCCGGAACTTTTCTCCGAAGTGTAACTTTTTGTTACACTAAGATTTTGTGCAGTCGTACAAACGACCGTACCACAAGTGAGGCCATCGCACTCACTCGTAGTACATCCACACGCTTGTGGACGCTCCAAAACGTTCATCAGATGGCCATCTGATGAACAAGCGGCAGGCATCGTTAATGTTCGATGTTGCCAGTTTACCCGTGGTTCGTACCTTCTGAGCCACGGTATTCCAAGGATGACATCAAATTTGTCATCCAAATCCAAGACGATAAAGTCATCGTCATATTGGGTATCTTCTAGCGTATAGTGGATCTTCACTATACGCTTCATGACGGTTACGGATGCGCCTGTCGCAAGACGTACCGTCATCCTCGTAGGAGGTGTGTCACACTCACTGAATTTAAAGTGACCATTTTCTAGCGATTGGCGTCGCACAAAATTGTTGGACGCCCCACAATCGACTAGAGCTCGAAGGGACAACTTATTCGTCACTTCGAGTTTCAAGGTAATGAGTGAGACCTCATTACCTAGAGCAGCAAGCACAACGTTTGTGTGTTGGGAGCAACCTTCATCAAGAGGCCTACAAATTCTCTTGACGTTGCTGGATCAGTAGGTGCGGAGCACCTACTGATCCTGTCCGTTTTTTGACGGTCCATCCCGTTGTTGCGTCTTTGCACCAACTGCGGACCCTCGTCCCTGCCCCTTTCTCATGGGTGGACGGTCACTACGCCCAGTGTCGCGAGACACTGGACGAGGGGCACTACACTCGTAAGCGTAGTGTCCTGTCTTTTGACATCTGTTGCATCTCTACAACTTCTTGTAGCCTGCAGAGCGAGCCTTCTCGCTCTCTACGTAACATAGTTCCATCGGCTCTGGACCTCCGTTGTCATATCGTCTCGGTTGACGATATGATGTCGAGCTGGCGCGGGCCTGTCTCAGACTGAAGTCTTCCTGCTCCGCAATGGAAATGGCTTGTTCTAGTGAATCTAGTTCAAGCCGGAACAGGTGAGTCTTGACGGGACCATCCGCAAGACCCTGCATGAACACCGAAACCAACGTGTGTTCATCCACCGGATTGGAACTTGTACAACTCGTGAGATGTCGTATATGTTGCGCGTAAGCGTGAACATCACGCTTACCCTGCTTGAGCTTCAAGAGTTCGGTTCGAGCTCTGAACTCAGCTCTAGGCGGTTCAAACGTTTGTCTGAGCAGCGACTTGAAGACTTCCAACGACCCAAACGCAAATGGGTCGTGCAACTTTAGCTCCAAAGACCAAGTCTTGGCACGTCCTGCCAGATTTGACAGGGCAAATGCAACTTGCATATCCCCGTCGTCGATGCGACGCGTCCTTATGGCGTCATCCAATTCGACGAACCATCTCAAGAGGTAGTCCTCTTCGACTCCCCTATACTTGGAGATGTCAATCTTCAAGGTTTCGGGTCGACGCGAGTGCATCGACCCACCAGCAGCAGCCTGCTGCTGTCTCAACAGTTCAAACTGTTGAGCACCCTGTTCTCTCAACAACTCTGCTTGTTGAGCACCTTGTTGGTGAAGCAAGGCTACTTTCTCGCGTTCAGCGTCAAGTTCATTTTGATTGAACTTGGCGATAGTAGCATGTTGGGCATCTCTATTGAGAGCCTCTAGCATGACGCTAACAGCATGGATGCCCATGGTCGAACCCATTCGTTCAACCGCATCCCATTCGACTTCGCTCAAATGGGAGTAGCCGTCACGCGTAGCGTGAAAGCTTTGGTCATCTTCATCATCCAACATATTCATGTTGGATGTGAACGCGGTCCTTGGACGGACTACGAAGTGCTACCAGGAGTAACGGGGCACCCTGAAGCTTGTACTGGTGACAGTACAAGCTACTTATTCTGATGACAGAATAAGGCGGTGCCTCGGAACTTCACGTACACTCGTACGTGCAGAGGAAGACGGTAAGAAGAAGCGAGTACTTGGTTAAAGTAAAAAGTAGAACTGTATTTAGTATAGTTAATGTCTGCAATAACTCACTATTTATCTTCATCTAACTATGTCTAAATACAAATGTGTAAATCAGTTATCTGCTCACCACTCATTGCGTGCGTCTGTCGTGGCGCGTCGTCGTTGGTTGATATTATGGCCTATATCAACCAATTAGGAACTACTCGTAAGTGCTACAGAATATTTATCCTTATGACAATATTCTGAGAATATAACTCTTGTAGTTATATTCTATCAACAATTTCTTATAAATTGTTATGTAACGATTCACCCCGTTACAGATAGGGATCAGCAGTATTCAGTGATCGACAGGTTCTTGCAACAAGAAATTGACGCGTCGCGAGCTTTGAAGTGACCCAGCTGCAT